ATAAAATGTTCTATGCCAAATTAAATTCTTTATTATAAAGTAATTAAAATAATATCTAAACGCGTTTCGCCTCAAAAGGCTTCATCAAGTAGATAATAGTAAAAGACTTTTACTTTTACGGCTATTTTATTATTTTAGAATTTTATTCTCGCTGATATACTGTACCATTGGAGTTCCTGTTTTTGTTTCCCTTCCATATATTCCTTATTGGATTCGAGTATATTACTGTGAAGATTCCACTCCATCTTGACGTCTCAGGATTTCCTGTCTTCTCAAAATATCTCACCATTACGGACTCTTGATAAGTGTTTTGGACTATTGTTTTATTACCATTTTATATCTATCATTATCATTTTATATTTACTTTTATTATTTTATCTTATATTGTGTATATGTTTTACCATATATTTTAGGCGCACTCTTATCTCTTCTTTTTTATTTTACCTTTATATTTAGGGGATTATAGGGGATTCCCCTTTGAGAGGTGCTGCCTTCTTTATTTATTTATGTGGCAGTAGTGCGCTGATTTTTTTCTTTTTTCGTATTAATTCTGTTTTATCTAACCTTTCTGAATATATAGATATTTTATTACAGCCCTCGGTTAAACAAATGAGATCTTATCTGAAATACTCTGACCCTTTTATCCTTTTTAAGTGATTTTACTTGGTGTCAAAATTATATTTTAGTCCCTCACAATATAGGATGCAAGGTGGTTGAAAGAATTCTAAAGCGAGACAGTTCAATTCCAGAATGTCAAATAGATTTTATTATACAGGGCATCAAAATAATTTTAAACAATAATTATTTTTGTTTTTTTGACTAATTTTATATTCAAAAGAAGGGCAAAGCTATGGGTACTAGGTTTGCCCCCAGCTATGCAAACCTCTACATGACCGATTAGGAATCTTCGGCCATTTGGGATGACCATGACTGGCGGGCAAACCTGGTTTCCTACTACCGTTATATTGATGATTTGTTTTTTATTTTGCAAGGTTCAGAAACTACTCTTAAATTGTTTTTAAATCATCTTAATGACAATGACAGGGGCATAATTTTATCTTTGGAATATAGAAACGTATCAGTCAATTTCTTAGATCTCAATATTTTTATTCAAGATGAGTGCATACAAACCAAAACTTTTTTTAAAGAAGTGTGCACCAATACTATAATAGATCAAACTAGTTGTCACCACAAACCATGGTTGGATGGCATCCCAAAGAGCCAATTTCTTCGCCTCCATCGCAAATGTTCCCAAACAACTGACTTTGATCTACCTTATTAAAAAATATGTTTTTAGACAAAAACTATAAATTAGAGAAATTAGATGCAGCCCTAGATGTGGTTAAGGAGAAGGAGAGAAAAGACCTTCTAAAATACAAAGTCAAAAAAGACCCCCCACAATTACCTATTATCTTAGATTTTAACAACAAAAATAAAATTCTGAAAACAATCATTAAAAAACCACTGGCATATCCTTAACCCCTTATGGACACACGACATGTGTGACATGTCATGATTCCCTTTTATTCCAGAAGTTTGGTCCTTAAGGGGTTAAACAAGATGACCTTTTGAAAGACCACATCCCAGACAGACCAAACGTAATATTTAGAGGGGCCCCTAGCTTCAAGGCTATTCTTACAAGAAATTATACGAAGAATAATGCACAGCAGAGAAAGTTTTTTATCCAGGCCGAAAGGTTTTTTTAAGTGTAATAAATGTAGTGTGTGTAAAACTACGGATCCAACTACCAAGTCTAAAACCACCCACTTCTCTTCTACAATTACAAAAACATCATACCCAATCAAAGATTTTATTGGCTGTAACTCCAAAAATGTGATATACATGTTGGAGTGTCCGTGCGGACTCCAATACATAGGCATGATTAAAAGATGCCTGAAAGTCAGACTGGCGGAACATTCCTGAAACATCAAAAGAGGGTATGAAAACCACTCCGTTTCCAAACATTTTTTGACACACAATAAGGACCCGAAATTTTTAAAAGCTATCGGGATAGAGCAAGTCAGTGTTCCCTGGAGAGGCGGAGATATGACAAAAATTTTAGGCAAAAGAGAAATGAACTGGGTCTTCCAACTTAAAACCCTTTCCCCAGTAGGACTCTGAATTCGATCTTTTTAATTTTTTATAAAAATTTTTTTAAATATCATATATTCACTTTTTTACTCACTTTTTTATTCTATTTATTTTACCATTGTTTGAAAAGTTATTATATGTATATTTAAAAAAAAAATCATTTTTTTTATATATGAAATAAAAAAATTGAAAATGACTCCTGTCGTCTCTTGTCTTCTTATATATTTTCTTGTTTTTAATTAAGATGTATATCATGGTCTAAAATACAAAACTAAAGATGAATTCCTGATTTGGCTCCAAAAGGTAGGAAAGTTCCCCTCTAATACAGTGTATCACACTCACATATCCAATTTGTTTTATGCCTTTATTTTATCTGCCATCCATATGGTTAAGTATTACAAACAATGTTTTCTTTTTACATAATTATACCTATTAGGATTTGTCCTGTTTGGGAACCATTCGTTTTTATTACTGTACACCCACTTATCTTTTGTTGTCATTTATTTTTGTTTAATATATTTCTATGGAATGTATTTATTCATTCTTTAAGCTTATGTTTACTTAATTTATCCTTTGCTGTCCTTTTAAATATTTCTATGAAATGTATTTATTTATTTTTTAAGATTGTTTATTTTTACTTCCATTTATTCACAAGAGAATTGCCATTAATACTAGTCAGCTTGCCCACCAAATATTTTCATATTTGGCATTGCCATGGTGGTATTGCAATGTGGGGGGAGTGGTTATTGGGTGGAACGCATCCACTTCCGGGTGCGTTCTGCCCGCTGACTGCATTTCCCATGTTGCATTGCTACCCAATGGGTGAAGCCCTGCAATGAACGCATTCATTGTATATGTATGGAGGAATGAGCCGCCCAGCTCGAGTGTGCCATTCATATTAGGGGGCGTGCCTACCCTCGCCGACTTCCCTATCTAACATATATTTCCCAAAGAGCATTGGGGCGTACCACATGATCGCGGTATAGCACGATCACATGACCAAAGTTTTTTTTCTTATATTTTTACAAGTACTTAAAGAAAAACACTAGTTTTTATTATTCAAACATATTATAACCATGTATTTTGTTTTTATATTATCCTGCTCCCATTATATTTATGTTTTGTATTGCTCATATGTATTATGCAAATGACGTCATTTAGGCGCCAAATTTGAATTAGCATACGATTACAAAGCTTATAAATGCATTCATGTACCAGGTTGTTGTTTTTACTGCCAGTTGATAAAACCCTGTGTGGCGAAATGCGTTTTGGCTGTTCTTAATTCTATTTTTAGAAGTTATTAATAAAGGAATATTGGCTTTTTAACCCCTTAAGGACACATGACATGTCATGATTCCCTTTTATTCCAGAAGTTTGGTCCTTAAGGGGTTAATCTCATATTTGCCATATACCTTTCTTTTATTATTTTTAAAAAATTTTATATACTATCTTATCATATTTATTTAATCTATACCTGGTCATCTACAATATTGGAGCGTCCACCTGCCCAAGTATCCTAGGTGGGGATAGTACCACCTATGCTATCATACCGAGCAGTACATCCTGCTCATGCAAGTATTTCATTCTTCTACACTGACCTGTTTTACATTATATACAGTGAACACTAAATTTGGTTTTATCTCTCTCTATACCGAGGACCTCTTCCGATTATTAACACCTATATCCTACCAGTGGGGGATTGACGCCACTGAATGCCAACCATACCTTAGCTAGTTTAAGCTCTGTAATAGGGGAGTGGATTACCTCCCTGCTGTGTATTTTTATTTCCTTCGATTTACTTGACAGTTGCGGTCTGCACTATTGGAGTCCTTTTCTCTTTATATTCACATATCTAAGCCTGAGTAAGGACAACTCAACTATCTGAAGACCCAGCACTGTATCAGACATACACCATATTCAAGTCTCTGCAGGCCAACTTGACCCTCTATCAGTCCACCAAGTATTAGGACTATTGAAAACATTTTTGCCTTGTTCAGTATATGTGAGTACATCACTACTGCTTATATTACTCTACTGTTTACTGTGGCGTGACCTATTTCCAATTTTTGTCTTCTATTCTTTTTTGAGGGTGTGTGAGTGAACCTCATATTCATAGGTTGCAGCCTTACACCTAATTTAGCTTTAACTTGAACATATAGTGCTGATCCAACATCTCTTCGTTCGCTGCATCTAAATCTACTTTAAGCCACTGGATTGTTACTGCCATTTCTTCTGCATATCAGGCTCATGAAACGCAAGTCCATTCGGGATTAAAGGCATATTCTACAAGATCTCTCTCTACTTCATGGGCAGCTGCTACTAACACTCCAATTGAAAGCATTTGCAGAGTAGCTACATGGGCATCCGCCAACACCTTTATTAGGCATTATGCCTTGGATGTGAGGTCCAGAATGGCTACAGAATTTGGAAGAAATGTTTCCTCATGCTTTCCTCAGTTTCATAATTCTGAATAAATAAGGCATTTCTTTAATGCATTATTATGTTTGTCTTCGTTTTTATTTCCCTCCCCTTAGTTGAGCTTGGGTATTACCCTATCGTGATGCTGCCATGGATTAGCCAGAAATTCAGAACATTTCCTCATACTTACCGTAATTTTCTTTTCCTGGATATATCCATGGCAGCATCCAAAATTTGTTCCCGTCCCTTGTTTTTAGATCCTTCGAGCGTGTTACATGACTGATAATACCAGGTAAGGAGGGTCTATTTGTGTTTCCTGTCCTAAACAGCCAAGGGGGAGGGGCTAACCCTATCGTGATGCTGCCATGGATATATCCAGTAAAAGAAAATTACGGTAAGTATGAGGACATTTTCTGAATTATTATCCATTTATCTTATTGGAACTTGTTGACATAAGAATAAAACTAATTAAAAAAACAAAAAAAAATTTCAGTCTGTTAGAAGAATTTATTTGCAATCTTTGCAATGCATCAAAAGCAATTCTCTGATTATTTAGCATATTTACAAAAGCATATACAAATATATACAAAAGTATATGAAAACATGCATAGATGACCATGCCTGTCAAATCAGCAAAACAAACAACCAACCACACACACCACAAAAACAAATCTAAAAAAAAAAAGAAGGAATTATAAGGACTCCAAACAACATCACAGTTTTATGTACTTGATAATTAGCTGTATTTTATTGCATGTTCAATTGTTGCATCTACTTATTGCCTCTGCTGTCCCACCTCTCCCAGTGTTTCTCCAATAACACAATTGTTCATGTGATCAAGGAGCACAATAAATGGTTTTTGGGAGTTAATAAGCAAAAAACTGACAAATGAACTTCTAAAAATCTCTGCTCTGCCTTTAAGGTTTTACTGCATACTATTGGGCGGATCTTTTCTTTTTTGAAGCATTGCTAAATGCTTTAAATGTAAATCATGAGAATTAATTGTAAAAGCAGCAACTTCCAATGTTAGGATTCTCTTATTTTATTATTTACTTTGGATTTATTTTGGATTGGTTGTTTTAGCATATTTGTTTAACCCCTTAAGGACCAAACTTCTGGAATAAAAGGGAATCATGACATGTCACACATGGCCTGTGTCCTTAAGGGGTTAAATGCATCAGCTTTGCAGTATACCAAAAAGAGAATTGGTACATTCCAGTCTGGAGTTACAATTATTTATATAGTGCCAACATATTCTGCAGCAACATACAATTTGGTAAACGAAACAAACACTAAAACTTAAGAAAACTTGATTGACAAACTGGAACAGTAGGTGAAGAGAGCCCTACCTAAGCAAACTTACAAAATAAAAGAGTTTCACTTTAAAAGGAGGTCAGTGTATAATAATACTTTTTATAACTGAGAATCCCCCTCACCACTCTTAAAACATGCAAAGGTTGGATTTAACAAAATATATATATTGTTTCATGACAAATTATCTTAAAAGTTTAAAGGACTCGTTTTCCTGGCACTATAGGGTCTTTAGGTCCCCCCCAACCTCAGGGTCCCACTCCCGCTGGCCTGAAGGGGTTAAAATGTCTTCAGCCACTTACCTTTCTCCAGGGCTGGGGAACTCTCCTCCCTCTGCCGACGTTAGTGCCGAATGCGCACGCGCGGCAAGAGCCGCACGCGCATTCAAACAGCCCATAGGAAAGCATTTCTCAATGCTTTCCTATGGACGTCCAGCGTCTTCTCACTGTAATTTTCACAGTGAGAATCGCAGAAGTGCCTCTAGCGGCCGTCAGTGAGATAGCAACTAGAGGCTGGATTAACCCTCAGTGAAGCATAGCAGTTTCTCTGAAACTGCTATGTTTTCAGCTGCAGGGGTAACACTAGAGGGACCTGGCACCCAGACCACTTCACTGAGCTGAAGTGGTCTGGGTGCCTATAGTGGTCCTTTAAAGGGACACTCCAGGCTGGTCTGGGTGCCTATAGTTTCAATGCATCTTATAGAAAATACTTTAAAACATACAAACATAAACAAGCCAATATCATCAATATCAAAATAAACACATTTGAAGATGCTGCATTTTGCACGAAATCCCTTGGATTTAGATTATCTCCCTTGAGGTCTGTCCACTGAAAAATGTACCTTGGCCAGTCTGGACCATGTCATTCTAAACTATTGCACATGTTTAACGTGTCTCTTTCTCTCTTACGTAATCGTTTCCAAAGCTCCACAATTTTGCTCGCAGCATGGATATATTTTACTTGCAATTAAGTTATTCGTTTTCTACTTATGGAAGCCATCCTCAAATTTGTTAATGGAGAAATCCAGAGTATAAGGGAGTATAAGAAAGGGAATTTGTGATACAGAACACTGCAAAACATCACAACTGAGCCATAATTATAGGCAATTATATAGGTCTTGCTTATGCATAAAGATGCAATGGTGCCTGGAGTGTCCTTTAAAAAAAAATGGATCCGCTTCAAATATAATTTTGTCATGTGTTCATTTTATACAATAAATAAATCTCTCAATGTTTAAATAAGCATTTAAAACATTAAAATGTATTTACAAGAGGTAATGAAAACAGATAAATAACCTTTGCAATCAATAAGAATTATTCCTCAGACATGAGATAATGACATTTTGTGCATATTTTAAGGATCTTATACAACAAACAGTAGTTAACATACAATATATAGGTTTGACAGTGCAAACAAAGTTTTTTGCTAAACTTCAAGGAATTCAGATTTTCATTTTACACAGGACTGTTATGCCCACTCATTTAGTTATAACTACTCTTTTGAGGCCGCTTCAACTTTTTAAAAGACTAACTGGCCTAAGTAGGGGTTATGGTGCTTGAAGTATTTCTCTAAAGGACCACTATAGACACCCAGACCACTTCAGCTTAATGAAGTGGTCTGGGTGCCAGGTCCATCTAGAATTAACCCTTTCTGCTGTAAACATAGCAGTTTCAGAGAAACTGCTATGTTTACAAATGGGTTAACCCAGCCTCTAGTGGCTGTCTCATTGACAGCCGCTAGAGGTGCTTCCCACTGTGATTTTCACAGTGAGAAGACGCCAGCGTCCATAGGAAAGCACTGAGAATGCTTTCCTATATACTGCCTGAATACGTGCGAGGCTCGTGCCGCACATGCGCATTCAGCCGATGAGGCGGAGATTCCCCACCGCCGAGGGAGCCCGGCGGGGTAAAAAAGGAAAGATTTAACCCCTTTCACCCCCTAGAGCCCAGCGGGAGGGGGGACCTAGAGACCCTATAGTGCCAGGAAAACGAGTATGTTTTCCTGGCACTATAGTGGTCCTTTAACGTTAAAGTGCCACTAAACTAGACCACTCTGCAGTATTACACTATTATAGCAACTATATTTAGCATATGCAATGGCTATTCGATATTTTCTAAAGTCAAAACTAATTAAACGATATATCACAGAGAAAATGTAGTGTTTTAACAAAGTTGGCAGCAAGTTTATAGGTACCTCAGACCTGTGTGCATCATTTGGTGGAGAAAACTGGAAATATAATTCATTTTATTATTTAATGTTGCCCTGTTCTAGAGACATACTGCTATTTGGAAAGTAAAATTTTATTTATTTAAATGAATCGTAAATTAAAAGTAGTGCAAGCTCTCATACGGATTTGCTGGGTAAACTATTGTTTTGACATTTAAAACTATGAAACTTCATGATTTAAATGATGAGGAAGCTAGCGTGCCCTTTTAAAAATGTACATTTCTTCAAAATTACGAAGACTACTTTAAAAAAAAAGAAAAGAAAAAAATGAGGGAAACCTAAAATATAATGTTAAGAAAACAGCTCTTTAAAGCTGGTTGGTGGTCTATCAGTGGTTCTCTTAATGCTAATTTCTGGAGAGTATCAAAAGTAAGAAAAAGAAAAGTTTATAATTTCTATAAATATCAATATGCCATTGTATGCTTTTACCTTAAAGGGACACTAAAGTCACCCAGACCACTTCACTTCATTGAAGTGGTCTGGGTGCAATGTCCCAGTCTCACTTACTCCTGTAATGTAAATTATTGCAGTTTCTGAGAAATAAGCAGAGGGCTCTATAGTGTAACAAATACAGATTTGTATTCCTTACACAATAGAATCCCTTTAAGTATGATACAAAGTGGGATAATATATCTCTGGGACCGAAACCATGCATATATTGTAAAACTGTGGATTTAAAGGGACATTATAGTTACCCAGACCACTTTATCTCAATGAAGTGGTCTCGGCGCAGTGACCCTATCCCTTTAACCCTGTAGTGTAAAAAAAAAATAATAAAAAAAATAAATAAAAATAAATAAAATCGCAGTTTTTTTGTTTAGAGAATGTAATATTTACATTTCAGGGTTAATTCCACCTCTAGTGGTTGTCCGTATGATTCACATTGAAAAGTGAGTGGGGGTGTCTTGTCTAGAGCTAGGGACAGAGCACTTTAGCGTCAGGGATACAGGTTTGTATTTCTAACACTACAGTGTTCCTTTGTATATGGTTGTAAAAAAAATAGTTTTCCCAAGTCTCAAGGCACTCAACTAAAAGGCACTGCAAAAATGACAGTCTTTGAAAATCAAATTCATAAATCACAAATACGCTATCTTACAAGGCTTGCTATATGGAAAAAAGTTACAAATCGTATAGCACAAACAAAAAAACAACACAGGAAATAAAAACCTGAATACAGTAAACAGTAAAGTGGTTGAATATTTGTTAAAGCACCAAAGCCTGAGATCTTCATTTGGTTATAGTACTAACATTTGCAAGACTGAACAGTGATTGCAATGTTATTAAATACATTAGAACCAAAGATTATCAATGATAAATCATATTATAAACATAAAATAGCAATATTTTTCACTTTTCTTTAGTTGTTGGTCTTTAATTTGGAGAGGATGCATTGGGAGCTTTACAAAGCAATTGGGTTTTTGCATTTAAAATATAAAAGTCAATTTATTATGTTTTTAGTATTCTAAAACTTAGCAATACTATTAATTTCTAAAAATGTCTTTGTCACATAATGCTTAATATTTTAGTTATCAACTGCACACAATATGTTCCCAAAAATTAAATAAAAAATAAATAAAATTCTGACAGAATTGAATACAATTCCACAAAGTCCTTCACTCTCTTTTAGTTTTTCCAATTTGTGCCTCAAAAACTGTGCAGAAAAGAGGCATGATCTTAATATATGGATTTTTTTTAGAAAATGTGACACATATTGCTGCATCATGATTTTTTTTAACGTTCATGATTGCGATAATATTTGCAATCTAAGTTTAACATGTGAAATTAAAAGTTACTCTTAGTTCATAAATATTTAGCATAATTTATGTTAATAGTTTAGTTTTTGATAGTTGGGTATACTTATTCATTCATATATATAAAGTACTATTTTGTTAATTTATGTAAAAGAAAATTAAATTTAAATATAATGCAATCATTTCTATCAATGACTTGAATATCTCATTCTAAAAAAGTGGTCTCTTATATCCTTTTCGTTGGCGGTCTCCTTGCTAAGCCACACAATTTTGCTTGTTGTGATATCTTCCTTTAGCTTTCGTTTAGAAATGGACACATTGTTAAACATTTCCAGTGTGTTTGGTCCGCTTAATAGGACGTAGCAAGCGTGCCGACTTTTCTCAAATAGAAAAGCTTAAAGAAAAATAGAGAAAAAAATAAACAATTTCAAAATAATTTTATTGCATCCTGGTTTCTAAAATGCTGTCAATTTCAACAATACCTAAAGAACAAATGTCTAACATGAACAAAAGTATTATAAGACAAATCAACTGATACCCAAGCAGGGTGACTGACATTTTAGACAGTGTTAGTGTATTTGATGATAAGCTTTTAATGTGCAGAGCTGCAATCTAGTGTTAAAATCAACAAACTAATGATACAGAGTTCAGACATCTTGCTTTTCTCTATGATTAAAATGACACCATAACTACTAGTGTGCTGTAGTGGCTATAGTGCCAGGAGTGCCCCCCATGTAAGTAGTCAAACTGTTTGATAGTGGTTTGGCGGTGTCGCTCCCTGTCTCGTCTGCAGCTGGAAGCTCTCAGCTCTAAGCTAAAGCCTGGGGTGCAGTGCTTAGTTCATTGGTTGACAGCTGACTCTCTAAGACAATAAGTTGACCACGTACTACAGGTGAACTAGTGGAAGGTGGGCACTTCTGGCACCACATCTTCTACAGTGAGCTGCGTTGGTATTTTTATTTACTTTGTGATGCTGACCATTGTACAGTTGCGTTTTATTTTTACACAGGTATTTGGGACGTAATTACATCCAGGGTTGTGACCTGGTGACATCATTGGTTTAGGTTTTTATAAGGTCTGACCTTTCTGAGGTCTATGGCCAGTTCATAATCCCAAGTGTGGTTCAGGTTTTGGGGTTTCCTGTGTTCCGATATTACTGATCTTGATCTGGCTTGTTCTTTTACCATACTTGCTCGCTGCCTGTCCTGACTTTAGCTTATCTGACTTCCTGCTTTCTAGTATACCAACTTGGCTTGGCTGACTACCCCATTTCCTGTATTTGATTGTAGTTTGGCTGACTGTTTTTTCAGAACCCAGATCTTGGCTCATCTTTTATGCAGTTAGTTTACACTATTGGTATCTTTCTTTCATGCTAAGGCAGTGGTGGAACTACCACACTTTTGGGGGCCTATGGACTTAGGGCCACCCGATGAGTATTATAGCTGTAATACTTGACAGGGGCTCAGTTGGTTGCCGCGGCCCTTTAAGACCGCGACTGGGCCCCTGTATTGTTGGCCCGGATGTGAGCAAGTGACATACGATCACTTCCGCCCAGTTAAATAGAGTGCAGCGCGGGATGGAGGAAGCCATGCAGACAGGCAGATGGAGGGAGAGAGAGGCTGCAGGAGATCCCGTACTCACTCCCATCAACCTAGGCCAGGAGCAGCAGCAGGACTCCAGATAATTTCTAATTAGTGGGGTAATAGCTGCTTGATCCAAGGAGACATCTGACTGCTACTTTGGGGTCAAGGAGGAATTTTTTCCTAGTTTGTGGCAAAATTGGAAGCGCTTCAGACTAGGTTTTTTTGCCTTCTTTTGGCTCAACAGCAACAACATATGTGAGGAAGGCTGAACTTGATGGATACAAGTCTCTTTTCAGCTATGTAACCCTCCTGGACACAAAAGGTAAGCTAGCAGGGGGGTGGCTTCAAAAATAAAAATTATCACATGTATGTCTTTATGTGTATTTGTTTGTGGGTGTGTGTACCTGTCCATATGTGTTTATGTATCTGAGTGTGTGTGTATATTTGTCAGTTTGTGTATCTGTATGTCAGGATATGTGCATGTGTCAGGGTGTGTGCATCTATGTGTGTGTGTATATATGTCAGGGCCCTCTCAACAATAGTTTGCCACTGTGCAAAGGTCTGGTAATACTTCTTTCTATTGCTGTTATTTCTGAAGTTAGGAGGAATTCTATACTGACCTGTACCAGGCTCTTATGTCTAGTCAGCTATATTTGCAATTTGGGATCCTATATTACTTAGCTGTACCATGTTCCTAGGACCTGACACAAGCAGACAGGATAACTTGAGAATAACTTGGATATAAAAGAAAACACATGCCAAGAATCAATAAATAAATGCTCAGACAGAGAGACAAACCACAAAAAAAGAGTGGAGGAAAAAGTGGGTTGTTATAGCCCTTACAATTAATGAAATACACAAGTGATCATTATGATACACTCAATACTGAAATCTTGCAGCTGTAACGTACACGCAGGGGCATAGGGACAGAGATCATAACAATGTATTGTATTATATTGTATTAAAACTTTGCCAAGGTCAAATTAACTTCTGAATCAACTGTGGTCATACATGACCATCAGCTCTCCCTCAGTTAAGTCCACATGCATTCTAACCTGATTAACCCCCTAAGAGTGAGTAATATACAAAATGGAGCTCATGAATAGAGAAAATGAAATACAAAATAAAACATAATGAAAAATAATATGATATTTCCACTATTTAAAAAAAATCTAACTAAATGTAATAACCACTAAGCAAAAAATGAAGATTTATAAATCAGTTGATATATAGTTCTTAGCACAATTATTCAGGCTGATGTTAAAAAACACTATCATTAGGAATACAAATGTGTATTCCTAACTCTATAGTGACCTCTAGCCACTTCCTTCCTATAGGAAGTCATTGGGAGACTACTGTGCATGTGCGGCAAAATGCTTTGGAGTAACGTTGTATGCTGATCCTTAAATAGGTAGCTCGATTAGTATCACCTCTTTCCTAAGGTTAGAACCAACTATTGTGAAACCATTGAAGCTGGTTACTATTTATCATACTGATCGTATACCTATGGTCCCACTCTTGTGTCACATATTAGTAAATGAGCACGATTCTACGTAGTACCACATTGGATTTATTTTAATCATTTTTTCAATAAAATTTATTTATTTTCTTATTCCAAGTCTGAATGGCAGCTGACACCCTCTGCTGATTATATTATATCCCAGTTTCCTTGGTACACTATTCTCAGTCTATTTAATTGTTATTAACATATGACCCATAGGAGCTAATTATACTTTTTTTAGTTTGTGTTTTTGCTTGAAAATATACTTACCATCAAACATTACTATGTTTTTGGTATTATTGTTCAGCTGAAGTAAAGCTTTGGAATATGATGGATGAAACATGTACAGGTTTTCTCTTGCCTCCATCTAATGAAGAAGAAAAAAAATCAAATGATATTCCTTTTCATCTTTTCCCCTCTACGTACATATTCTCAATACATATACAGTTGTGCTCAAAAGTTTGCATACCCTTGTAGAAATTGTGAAATTTTGGCATTGATTTTGAAAATATGACTGATTATGCAAACAAGTTTATTTTATTGAAGGATAGTGATCCTATGAAGCCATTTATTATCACATAGCGGTTTGGCTCCTTTTTAAATCATAATGATAACAGAAATCACCTAAATGTCCCTGATTAAATGATGGACTTTCCAGCATGACAATGACCCTATGCACAAGGCCAAGTTGACCCTTTGGTGGTTACAGCAGAAAAAAGTAAAGGTTCTTGGGTGGCCATCACAGTCTCCTGACCTTGATATCATCGAGCCACTCTGGGAAGATCTCAAACATGCGACTCATGCAAAACGAGCAAAGATTTTGCATGACCTGGAGGCATTTTGCCAAGACAAATGGGCAGCTATACCACCTGCAAGAATTAGGGGCCTCAGAGACAACTATTACAAAAGACTGCACTCTGTCATTGATGCTTCAGTGGTCAATACACAGTATTAAAGGACCACTATAGTGCCAGGAAAACATACTCTTTTTCCTGGCACTATAGTGCCCTGAGGGTGCCCCCACCCTCAGGGACCCCCTCCCGCCCGGCTCTGGAAGGGGGAAAGGGGTAAAAACTTACCTTTTTCCAGCGCTGGGAGGAGAGCTCTCCTCCTCCTCTCCGCCTCCGTTAAGCCCCGCCGGCAGAATGAGCACGCCCGGCAAGAGCTGCGCGCGCATTCAGCCGGTCTCATAGGAAAGCATTTACAATGCTTTCCTATGGACGCTTGCGTGCTCTCACTGTGAAAATCACAGTGAGAAGCACGCAAGCGCCTCTAGTGGCTGCCAATGAGACAGCCACTAGAGGATTAGGGGGAAGGCTTAACCCATTCATAATTATAGCAGTTTCTCTGAAACTGCTATAATTATGAAAAAATGGGTTAACCCTAGAAGGACCTGGCACCCAGACCACTTCATTAAGCTGAAGTGGTCTGGGTGCCTAGAGTGGTCGTTTAAGAACTAAGGGTATGCAGACTATTGAACAGGGTTAGTTTCATTTTTTTATTTGTTGTCATGTTTTGTTTTATGATTGTGGCATTCTGTTATAACATATAGTTGAATAAGAATGATACATATATTACCAATTCCTCAAGGGTATGCAAACTTTTGAGAACAACTGTATATGTAATGTAATACAGGGCATATTCAAAACAAGAAAGTGAATATAATAATATTAGTTTTTTTATTATGTTCTTATATCATCTGCATCTTATATCACAAAAAATATATATTTTAAAATTAAAAAGTGCTAATTTGTACTGGGATCATGCATATGCAAAAAAGCAAAGGATTTAGCGTTCCATGATTACAAAAATGCTGCTATAAAAAGCTACTGTATTTGGCACATTTTCAGACCAAAATTGTAAAGCTGCTTGAATCTTCTTTGTTTTTTACTTAAATGAGCATTCCAATTGCCTTCATTTCAGTATACAAAGAAGTGTAAAAGTGTGATCAATGCAGAAGCGCAGAAAAGAAACTAAAAAGCAACCTCTCACTCAGCAAAATCATTTATTGCCATATTTGAAGAGGCAGAAAGCTTCAACAGGCCTGCCAGTCTATTGAGTTGTCCCTGGTTATGACTGGCGTTTACTTTATATGAAAAGATGGTGAAAATTATGAATGGGCAACAGATTCAGATCATAAATACATTCATAATTATTACTGTCTTGTAAATTCCTGTCTGCTACAAAATAATCTGCAGATCTGCACCCCAACTTGTTAAAGAAAGGGGAAACTAGAGTATGAAGGAGTAGGGGGCTACAGTGTGTCCCAATAAACACAGATCATGCAGGGAATATAATGCGTGTATCATCTGTTGACAAATGTGAAATCATGGTTTGTGGTAAAATCTATTAGGTTGCACAAAATAAACCTCAGTCTGCTTTTAAAAGCGGTTTGAGGTTTTAGATGGAAATGATAGGCTAAAGATTTAAAAAATATATTAAAAAAAGGAAATTAGATGTTTGGACCATAGTGTTGTTGTAACATTAAAGGGACACTATAGTCACCTGAACAACTTCAGCTTAATGAGGTTGTTCAGGTGAGAACTATAGCTCCCTGCAGCCTCTCTCATGTAAACACTGTATTTTCTCAAAAAATACAGTGTTTACATTGAAAGCTAGGAACACCTCCAGTTGCAGTCACTCAGAATGCCACCAGAGGGACTTCCGAGTTGATTGAGGCATAAAACTCATCAATCCACTCAGATCTGCTGTCAGCAGAGCACAGGGCAGGATGCAGACACCGAACTTTCCTCATAGAGATTCATTGATTCAATTCATCTCTATGAGGAGATGCTGATTGGCCAGGGCTGTGTTTGAATCATGCTGGCTCTGCCCCTGATCTGCCTCTTTGTTAGTCTCAACCAATCCTATGGGGAAGCACTGTGATTGGATCAGGCTACCACTTCTGATGATGTCAGCAGACTTTTTTTTTTTAGGCAAACAGCATGCAGAGTTACAGCTTCTGGCTTGAATACAGAAAGAGTTTTACTATATTTATGGAGGCATGAGGGGCCCAGGGGGGCTAGATGGTGGTGTTAACACTATAGGGTCAGGAATACATGTAGTTGCATTGGTGACTATAGTGTCCCTTTAAAGTTACACTGATATTTCATTGACCTACTCAAAAGTTAGCACTGACTGGCTTTTATTTCACTCACTTCCTGTTTAGTGGGATATTACAGCAACAACAAGATTTTGTAGGAGCAGCCTAAATAATTGTTATTTAGCATTATATAATGTAATTACAAGTTAGAATATTAAGAGAATTGACATACTGTGCTGTTCAAGTCTGGATTGTCTTCGCCCCAAAAGAGGAAGAAGGACCGATGATCTCCTGTTTTCAGTGTAGCAGGATTTGGATTGACAATTCCCAAATTCATTTCTACTTCCCACTGTACTGTTCCACTGTTGCTGTCAATAATTATTACCTAACAGAAAAATAATGCAAATGTAACACTGTGAATTATGCATTGCATGATTTTTGTATGCTTCATTCCATTACAAATTACCAAAAATAAATGATATTAATATAACAAAACTCTACAGAGTTACATAGAGGGATAGAAAAAAACAAAACCACAAAAACAAAGTATACTGCCACCAGCTCATCAACCATAGCATTCCAAAATCATGAGAAAATATACAATATATTGTTAGCCACCCCGTTGTTGCCATAATCCATCTGTGAAGGCCTTGCCTAGAGCGTGGAGCTTTGTTATGGAAATTGTGCACAGGGGATTGTTATGTTAAAACAGTAAAGCACATTCCCAACAAAGCTGGGACACAGGATTGTCTCAAATGCAATTTTGTGCTGTAGTTTTATAATGTCCTGTCAATTGAATGAAGGGGCTAAACCACAATCACGAAAATCAATTATTCCTCCTCTACCAAACTTTATTGCAGCTTGCACTGAAATGTCTCATGGCAACTCCTAAACTTTTTTTTTTTTTTTAACCAGACTTACCAATAGATAACTGTTATTTTGAACTCAAAACAGTGTTTCCATAGCTCCAAAGTCCAATGACAGTGAGCTTTACACCACTCCAAGTGAAGCTTGTCATCATACATAGCCACCCAGTTACTAGAAAGTCCCCAATGGGCCTGTGAAATAACCACCTTTGTCCCACCCAACCTCCATCGAAAGACAGGGGGTGTGGACCCCTAATTATCATATTAAAGGAAGCAGGACCCAATGTCCCTCCAAGCCCCCACCCATGGTCAGAACCATTGGGATGTGACCCCCTTTTCTTTTAGCCCTCACTATTGAATGTGATGGTTGACTAGCATATGTGGGCCATCCACCAGAGGATTAACCATTGCAGTGATGAGGGTTTTTAACTATTACAATTTAAGGGAACAGTGCACAAACAAAAATACCCCCACAGATATTGGGGTGCTGTGACTGTGACAAGTGGGGGCCTTAACACAATATGGCCGTATGGTGCAACTGAATACCCAGTCTGTTTCCTATGATTTTAAGTCAATGCAGCATTACTGTCATTTTAAAAGGAACCCTTTAAATAAAGATTACTTATCTCTTTTCTAGTGCCAAGAATCCTCTGCTGCAGCTGCCCGGTTCCATGTCCGTCAGCTTGCCTGCTGACATCTTCCTCAATCTTTTTCATACCAATGATTCTCATAGAGAAGCATTGGTGGACTGGATTCACATGCAAGGACAAACACTATGCTCCTCAAGTCAAGTGCTGATATGAGCAGCATTTGATTGCAAAACTGATTTTGACTCAGTTCTGAAAGCAGAAGTGTCTCTAGTAGCTGCCAGGAAGATAAGATGTGTATTTAACCCTTCAATGTAAACACTGCTGTGTCTACAAAATGGTAATGTTTTACATTGAGTTAAAGTGGTCTGGACCACTTTAATGGTCCCTTAAATTAATTCTATAGGCACACAGATGACTGAAGTGTTCTGGGTGCAGTGTCCCTGGTACCTTCAAAGTTAATTATTGTAGTTTTTTTATCTAGTGACTGAGGACTGCAACTCTAGTGCATGAGGACATCCAGCAACACCGGAATCCCCATGGAAAAGCATTGTATATTGCTTTCCTATAGGGAAATCCTTATTCAAGCACGGAGGCAGACCTAAGCCAGCGCCGGAGGACATCGGCGCTGGACTGAGGTAAGTGGCAGAAGGGATTTATTACCCCTTCAGCACCGTGTTGGGGAAGTTGGGAACTACAGGGAGCTATAGTGCCAAGTAAACAACTTTGTTTTCCTGGCACTATAGTTTCCCTTTAAATAGGTAAATGTGCAGCACGCTAGCAATAACACCTGAGAAAATGAAAACACGCGCATCACTCCTGTTTCTAATGCATTACATTCCTTGCACAAGAATGAAGTGGCAAAAAATTGAACAATTTCAATACACTAGAAAGAGGATATCATTTATATATCTGAGCTGAATGCCATGTGTGAGATAGTTGTAATATGCTCAGGGTGCTCTTGTTTGTTACTTAAAGCAATATACATTATTTCATTTTAATTAAAGGCTATACTAAACCTTCTTTCTTCCATTTCCAATTCCAAGCTCCATCATTATGGACAAGACATCTTTCTTAAAGTACCCAAGTGCTGGCTTGCTACAGAAGTAAAAGAAAAAAACACATTTATTATATAAGCAGTCATTAAAACCAGAGCATTTTATAGATGTTATAGAATTCAACCACAAGAAGACTCTAATAACAAGAAGGATGTTAGACCTGTGTGCTATATAAAAAATATAATTCAACAATCTAACTCAAGCATGTCAAACTCAAAGACTAACACAGGCCAAATAAACGGGCCAAATAAACAAGGTTTAAGTTTATGTGGACTGCAAAAAAAAAAGTTTGACCACGACACACACAAACTAAAATTACTTGTATCATTCTCATGCACACGATATGTAATCTGGGGTACATATATATAATTCAATTGAAAGCTTCAACTGTCTCAGTAGTAATGCCACTGTATGGAGTGCCCGCTCTTCTCGTTTACTCGGTACCTCTGTAAACTGCAGTCTCAGTCCGCTCCACTCGATTCCTAGTCCCTCTGCAATCTCCAGGCAGAGTAAGGTGTGGCTGCACACTGCCCACTTCTATCCCCTCTTCCATCCATTTCTCTTCTTCCCCCTTCCATCCATGTTTGTTTCCCTCCATATCTCTCTCCCACCTTCCATCCATGTCTGTCCCCCACACCTCTCCCCTCATGTCTCCCTCCCTTCCATATAACCCCCCATTCCATCCATGTCCATTTCCCTCCATGTCTCTCTCCCATCTTCCATTCATGTCTCTCCACCATCTCTCTCCCTCCCTTACATATCTCTCCCCGTGTCTCCCTCCCTAACCATTCCATCCATGTATCTCTCTCCATCCATATCCCCCTTCCATCCATGTTTCTCCCCCCATGTCTCCCTCCCTTCCATATCTTGCTCCCTACCTATTCCATCCATGTCTCTCTCTCCCATTCCATCCATATCTCTCTCCCCATTCATATATCTCTCCCTCCCCCCCCCATGACTTTCTTCCCACCTCCTTCCTTCCCTATTTTTAGTAAGCTGTTCCCTCCCAGAGCTGGCACCCGAGGTGATGCTAGCGCCGGCTTTGCATTTGCCTTGTAGCTAGATGGCCCCCCTCCCTTCCATTTTACCTGACATAGCAGGGGAGGGGAGCCTTGCACTCTCTAGCGGTGTGCTGACAGACTGAGCGCTGGGTAGTCATGTGACACCTGGCGTTCCTACGCAGAGTGAGAGGCGCTCACCCTCCTAGAGTACAGTGCGTGCGGTTCCTTTAGGGAGCCGCATGCTGCTTGGGGACGCAGGGAGCGCAGGCTGAGGCGGGCGCTAAAATCACCTGTCAGTCTGACAAGTGATTGTTGTGCACACTCGACCGGGTCGCAAACAAATTCATTGTGGGCCACACACTGAGATGCACTTTAAGAGACACTATAGTAACCAGAACAACTACTAGAACAATTTATAGCATGCCCCTGTAGACTTTTTAATGTAAACACTGCCCTTTCAGAGAAAAGGTAGTGTTTACATTAATGCCTAGGGACACCTCCAGTGGCTCTCACTCAGATGCCAACTAGGGGTGCTTCCTGTGACGTTTAGTGTCTCCATGCTCTGCATAAAGGCGCTGAACTTTTGCCATAGAGATGCACTGATTCAATGTATCTCTATGAAGAGATGCTGATTGGCTAGCGCTGCGGTTTGCCGTGCATGCGCGATAGCCTTTCAATGCTTTCATATGGGAAAGCATTGGATTGGCTGACATGGTAAATTTTGCTGATCTCAGTCAAAAAGGCGAAACCAGCACCATCGGACCCGCGTGGCCCTGGAATAAAGGTGAGTAAACTTACCTTTTACATTGGTTAATGGTGGGACCAGGGGGCTAAATAGTTCTATTACAGCTATAGTGACAGGAATATAGGTTTGTATTTCTGTCACTGTAGTGATCCTTTAATGATTGCATAATTATTCCTTTTATATCAAATTACTAGGTAATCTGCAGTATATTCTATAAGTGGCAGAATTTGTAAGCACACTTTCTTGATTACACTTTGGCTTGGATGCTGGCTGCATAAAAATGCTATAAACTCTTAGAAGGGGTTAGGGATAGTCTTTTGAAAGAGATAATTTCAGAGCACACAAATGTACCTAGTCATGTTCTTCAAAATAAATGAACAACAAATAGTTGAACTTTTGAATTCATTTGACTGTAGTAGTAAGACTCTGTGACTGCGAAGACAGCGGTATAAACATAAGTGTACGCAACCGTATGCATGTTTCCTGTCACTGAGTCACTCCAGGGGTGTCTCGGGGCTTGACCCCTATACTATACTTTAGAAATCGTGGGCTATCGTAGGTATGTATAGTCTGGCTGTTAGGCATGTACAATCAATCTACTATTTGCACATTGACTTAAACTATCCCACAAATCACGAAGGTGATAGGATAAATGAATCATGAAGCTACCGTATCCTTCGATATCAAATAATCAAGTTGAGCGTCTTACAGTTTCCATAGTATTTATCTACGGAGTAAAATATTTAATGGAATGTCATACAGGATCTTAGTTATACTGTCTATAACTCAGTAGGAGAAGGTATAGGAATAGCCTTATAATTTATTAGTTACTTTTTGCTACCTTTCTTTTGTTACTGTTGTTTTTTATGTAGCCATTTACCACTTACACAGTTAGGATACTGTTATATATCCAGGGGGCTCCATTCTCACTGTTGTGAGACGATTCTGCCCATTTTTTTTATTTTCATGTGACTGTAGTACCATTACATCTCATATTTTTTTTTTACCTTAGAATGTTTGTTGTATTTAGAGACCACAATGAATGAAACTTCTGTCCATCAAGCAATTCAGAAACCTCTGTTTTCACAATCAAAATGTTGTTGTAATACTTTCCAGGAATCTTTAATAAATAGCGAATATCACCAGAGCTATAATAAATAAAGGATATAATGTATTTAATATGGGTGGGACAACCCAAAAAAAAAGAAAAAACAGTTTGCAGATGCATGGAATTTGCAATCTACAGAGAATAGTGGTAGTAAAAAGTATTAAAACATAAACCCCTGATATCAGATTTTTATCAAGAATGCATCTCTTGAAACAGCATTGAAACCAGCCAGTTGCAACTAGTTAAATAGTAATCTGTAATATGTCTAGATGGTAATGAAGGAAGGGTATTCCTAAACTAAAAATGGTTGATTGTTTTAACCCCTTAAGAACACATGACATGTGTGACATGTCATGATTCCCTTTTATTCCAGAAGTTTGGTCCTTAAGGGGTTAAAGTATATTGCTGAACACTGGTCAAGCTAAATGCGCATCCATTTACGACTTGCATCATTTCGGACACACTCATCCACGTCATTCCTGTGACATAAGCGTCTTTGGGGTCGCAGGAATGACACGGATCAATCAAATGTTACTTACGGCTACATGACACCTCACCTCCATCCATGCTTTGTTTGTTGTGGTTATTCAGAGAGTGTTTATCTGGTTTCTGATTTAGGATTGTTCTCAACTCCGTAATCCTTGACCTTGTCTAGTCTCACCATTGCTGTTACTTTCTATTCTACTTGAAACCGGTTAGTCTTTTACTATTCTCTATCCTGCTTTGCAGGATATTCATGCTTTCTCCTAGTGTTAAGCCTGGCCATTCCCAAGCACCGGTAATACGCCTTAGTTCATTCTGCATCTCTACCTTGTTTAAGCTTTACTTAAGTACTGAGTATTTTTTTTTTTTATTCTTTGTTTTATTGAGGTAAATAGAATAACAATACAAGCATTCAAGGATTAAGTATACAGTTTAGCAGTTCACAAATGATTGGCAATACCTCATTTTTTGTATTTTACGAACAGGCCGAAGCAGGCTCAACTGACATGTCTACATTAATATCTGGTGTTGAAATTGTGAATGGAGAGGGAAAGTCAGACATACGGATTACGACAAAACAAGCTTGATAAACATGTTATTTACTGCCTCCCAGATACATCATCAGCATTAGCGTAAACAGGCTAACAAGCGGAACTAGCAGGAAGTACTGAGTATTAAGGCACAGGACTCTATGACAAAAATCAAGTTACGGCTCTCCACCTAGTTTTGAACTCGGACCAACCCCTGTCTAGGACTGATAGTTAATGCCTCTATAGGAAAGGTAACACAAGATCATTGAGACACTGATCTACCAATTTGTGTGAAAAGATCTCACCTGGAAATAGGAAGAATTGGAATATAACCTGCAGAATGATTTGTTTGTCCCTCCCAGTCAGGATCTGTCTTTAGTGTTACAGGTTTTATTTCATCATCTGTAATTCTAGAATATAAATCTCTGACAGAATATCCTTCAATTGAGCCCCCTGTGAAGGCAAAATATGACATATGGTATATAGTAAGCAAGTCCATAAAGGATTATGTAAATGGCATACACACAATACTTTCCAAATGTTAAATCATATCAGTAAAGCGCAGTAGTAATAGACAAACAACACAATACAATAATTACAAATATTTGAGGATACTTGATCCTAAAAACTGAGTTGCTTTGTACACTACCAGTATAAGACAATGTTATACACCATCCCTAATGATATCTAAAATGATGTAAACCTTTGAATGAAAAGTTTACAGTAAGAAGTTCTTGTGAACCAATCTAAAATGCAGTGTTTACCTGTATACATGAGGACATACTGAGAGCCAGATGCTGTAGCATGTGTGTAATGGCCATCTTTCCTCGGAATTCCAATACTTTTATTTTGGCCAATGCGGTCACCATTTTTTCCTGAGAAAATAAAGCTTTGCATCTACAAGAAATAAAACAAGACCCAATAAAATTTTGACCGTTTTACATAGCAAAACTGTAGAAACAGTAAAGAAAAAACAAAAACTAATTTGTCTGCGTTGTTGCAAATGTACTCTAAGCACCAACACATCATTAGCTTATTGAAGTAGTTTTGGTGTATAGATCATCCCGTTGTAGCCTCACTGCTCAATTCCCTTCCATTTAGGTGTTAAATGTTTATGTAGCCCTAGCCACACCTCCCCTGGCTGTGGCTTACACAGCCTCCCTACACACTTCATGTGAAGAAAGATCTATTTTTTAAACTTCCCTTGTTGCATGGTGTGTTTAATTGAGAACTTATTATCACCTGCTCTGTTAATGGCCTCCTAGAGCCTCATGTATGTGATTAAAGTTCAATAAACAGAGTAGATAAAATGTTCTGTATACACTGTGCTTTAAGTGTGCTGAATGAAAATCCATTTTTTACCATAGAGGCTGTGTAAGTCACAGCCAGGGAAAGGGGTAGTTATGGCAGCATAAATAAGTGATTTAAACACTACACATGCCTATAACCCTTTGGCTACTGGAGTGCTTTATGTATGAAGAGTGTGTCCTCTTTTTTAATTTTACAAGTGCAGAGTTCAATAGAAATTTGCGCTTTTAGAAATTAGCCTTATTACACCTTCCTTGCTGGCAATCAGACAACAGGTTCTGTTACCTCCTGGTTGTTTTGCTCAGTGGAGTAAAACTCAAGAGGCAGGCAATTGCCTTGCAAATACTTCTCATTAAGCTGCATTGGGAAGTCTGTGATTGGGCAGCCACAGTAAATCTGGGCAAGAGAAAAAGGGGAAAGTAGTTTTGATTTTTAGTATGTTGCAGTTGTTCAGTATTAGCAACAACATTATTATACTGAGCGAATGAGCATTTTTGCCAAACCTCACTATGATCCAAACGAGTATTATCTTTCCCATTTACAATAATTCCCCAGTGAGGAAAAAAAAGCGTTGGGCTCCTTTTTTAGGAGGGAAGGGTGCTAAGGAGGGCACAGGAGGGGAGTGGGTATAAAGAGGGCACACAGAGGTGCTGGGGGGGAAAAGGCACACAGGGAGTCTGGGGAGCACAGATGCTGGGGCACACAAAGACAGAGGGGCTGAGAGGAACAGCAATACAAACAGAGGGGCACATAGACACACAGTGGGGCTGGGGGGAAAGAGACACACAGAGGAAAGGGAAAAAAAAGACACACAAAGGGATTGGGTGTCAAAACAGACGCCTGCTGGGTCAAGAAAGAGGCCTGCCAGAGCAGCCTGTCTGCCAACCAGCCGGCCACAGTAGCCAGCCAGCAACAGTAATTAAAGGGACACTATAGCCACCAGAACAACTACAGTTTAATGTAGTTGTCCTGGTGAGTATAATCATTGCCTTCAGGCATTTTAACGCAAACACTGCCTTTCCAGAGAAAAGGCAGTGTTTACATTGCCCTTTAGGGACGCCTCCAAGTGGCCACTCTTCAGATGTATTGGAAGCGGGGCCAGCACCTGCAGACCCGAGCGGCGATGGAGTTTAGGTGAGTTTTTACCCTTTATAAGGGACTAATGGTCGGTGGGGGCAAGCCACCTAAATGGAGGGTTAAATACTATAGGGTCAGGAATACATGTTTGTGTTCCTGACCCTATAGTGTTCCTTTTGGGTGAAAAGAGAAACTTGAGCTGGGTATCGCAGAGCTATAAAAAAAAAAAAAGCGCTGTTGTTAATTCTCTAATAATCTATCTTTTTACTCAAAAGTACAAATACTGTTATATATAAAAAAGAGAGCAGCACCTTATTAAGTGTAATAGCTCCTAAAACACACAAACTTTTTAGGATGATTCATACTGTCTATTGACTGTTTTCTCTTTCTCCCTTTTTTAGTAGGATATCTTGAGGATATAATTTAAATGTATTTTTGTCGATTGTTGTGTTTTTAATATTATGTATTTGAATAAAGTATATGTTTATGTTTTCGGTATGTATGTATGTATGTGTGTGTGTGTGTATATATATATATACACACACACACACACACAAAATAGAAATTGAGGTTTTATTATTTGTAGAAAATTAGAGTTGTGATTATATGACTGCAAGTTGCAGCTATTAATTTGCTTCCACATGGATGGCCTATAGTTAATATCCAATTAAGAGACTGTTTAAGTCGAAGAGAGTTAACTACGCCCACACAGGCGGGTTTAAAAAGCACAGACGTGAGAGAAGGGGCAGGTCTGATGAAGCCGTGATTACAGTTAAATGCGTTATGATGTTCGACCACGTCAGCACGCACACAACAGGATCGGAACTCCGTACAAGCCTTTTTGCGAACTGTAAGCCAGCATTTGTATAAAGGACTGGACATTCTATCAGTTAGAAATCCCTTTATATTTTTGCAGTTTTGAAAGATAGGTATCATTTCTCTGTTTTTTTTCTGGTGTTTACTTTAACATATGGAAAACTATGAAAATTGATCGTATGCAGTCTTATTACACTTTAAAGTTTGGATTGCACATTTACACATTTTAAATACTTTTTGCATTTTCCAAGTTGAATTTGATTTTTATCACAGAGCTATGTTTTATTATTATATTGTGAATGGGGGCCATGGTGTTAGAGAGACCCCCTCCAGGGCCCATTAGACTCCATTGTAGGCTCTAATGAGGCATTGAGGGGACTTTTTTTTTTAAATACAGTTTACATATATGTGAATTTTAAAAATGTAAATCCACTGCATTCCACATAGACACACACTAAATCCCCTGTACACAGACCCACCCTGCACATACAAAGAGACACACTGCATTCCCTGCACACACACACACACACACACAGACACTTTTAACTACACACAAGGCATAGCATAATGGATGTGGTCGTGTTCTGTGCATGCTTTTAGTGAGGAGGGGGGGCAGCATTTCATCTTTGGACCCAGGCAGCCATGTCTTGGGCCATTCCTGATATATGTAATAGTAAGTGTAAGTGTATCTGTGTAATAGTTTGGGCTGATGTTTAACTGTGCATTTGTGAGTGTATGTCTTTGTACATGTGTAACAGTGTGTGCCTTTGCATTTGTATTAATTCCTCAACAAAGTTTTGCTTAAAAACTGAAATATGCACATTTTATTGATTGATAGTAAAAAAAAAAGTATGTTTTCATTTTATAGGAAGTACTATAAAAAGTGATATAAAATGCCAAAATACCAGAGTATTGCAGTATGCAATGATACCTTTTTTATCGGACTAACATAATATTTCAAAGACAAGCTTTCAAGAGTTTTCTTGAAGTGAGGAAAACGTTCGAAAGTGTGTCTTTGAAATATTATGTTAGTCCGATAAAAAAGGTACCATTGCATACTGCAATACTCTGGTATTTTGGCATTTTGTCTACTGGACTAATACGGCTAATCCAATCTACAATATATATAATATATAATTATTTTTTACGGTACAGCTGAGGAGGATTATTCGGCAAGCTTAATGTCAATGATAGGAGGGGTTATAAAATGTATTTTTGGGGTTGAAGTCCCTGGTCCACATAGCAATGTCCCTGGGGATGGGTTAGAGTCAAAAGTGGAAGAGAATGTCGAGATAAGTCACACAGGGACATTTAGGAAAATAAACAAACATACTGCTCAAATATAACAATGCATGCACACACAGTAACGTTTGGTGAAGGACATTCATACATACAAATACACACACGTGTCTTACAAATGTATTGGAAAAATAAATGGCACTGATCAGCAATTTTGGGACAATAATGGTGCTGGTAAGTGATTTGGGCACAAAAAGTGCACTATTAAGCTATTTGGACCTAAAGGTGGCACTGATAAGATGGGAACAAAGATATTTTGAGACTAAGAAGGCCCTGATTAGCTATATTGGGACAGTAAGATGGCACTGATTAGCTATATTGGGACAAAGAAATGGCACTGAATAGCTATTTTGAGACAAATATGGCACTGGGAAGCTGTTTGGGTCAGAGACGGCACTGGGAAGCTGGGCAAAGATATGGCACTAATACGTTTTTTGGAGGCATAGATGGCACTGTAAGAAGTGGGTGACATGTGACCTGGTAAATTTGGAGGGCACAAAGAGGTGGAAAATGGGTGTGGTTAGAAATGTTATGTTTGTGAAGGGGAGGAGTTAGCAATATAGCCACACCCGCCTGGGGAGGGGCCAAAAATAATCTTGCACCCAGGCATCAGTGACCCCCAGGATCGACAAATATACATCATTAATGTGTGCAAACATATTTTATGTTAGGTTAATGACTACTTTTCTCACAAGGTTGTATAAACAAGTAATTTCCCCAGTAGAAAGCACTAATAGAAAGCAACACAACCACAAGTACAACATTTTCTTCTTTTATAACACTCCCTACATTTTTGGTGAATATTATTTGTCAATAATTATTTGTTCATACAGAATACCTTACGCCAGGGTGTTAAAACCATTTTAATATGATCTTAAATCAACCCCTAGTACAACACTGACTTTGGCTGAAGAGGGTAGTCACCATTTGAGTCATCATAAAAAAATCAGTGAAAGAGTCGTTTTAAGGTAAAAGCAAACACATTACAACACCCGTAACACCAAGTCAGCAATCTGACTAAAATATTTTAATGTGATTGTCTCTCTTTATGCTGGCCTATACACTTAAAATTTATACTTTAAAGGACCACTATAGTGCCAGGAAAACATACTCGTTTTCCTGGCACTATAGTGCCCTGAGGGTGCCCCCACCCTCAGGGTCCCCCTCCCGCCCGGCGCTGGAAGGGGGAAAGGGGTTAAAACTTACCTTTTTCCAGCGCTGGGCGGGGAGCTCTCCTCCTTCTCCTCCTCCTGGGCTGGCTGCGCGCGCATTCAGCCGGTCGCATAGGAAAGCATTCATAATGCTTTCCTATGGACGCTGGCGTGCTCTCACTGTGAAAATCACAGTGAGAAGCACGCAAGCGCCTCTAGTGGCTGTCAATGAGACGGCCACTAGAGGATTAAGGGGAAGGCTTAACCCATTAATAAACATAGCAGTTTCTCTGAAACTGCTATGTTTATAAAAAAATGGGTTAACCCTAGAAGGACCTGGCACCCAGACCACTTCATTAAACTGAAGTGGTCTGGGTGCCTAGAGTGGTCCTTTAACTCTGTAATGTTATTGTAAAAAGTGTATAGTATTGTTGTTTTGCTTTGCTTATCTGTGACATTCAACTGCTTTTCAGGATTGTTCCATGTCAATGCTTTCTGGACCCTCTGGACTTTTAACAGGTTATTGTTGTTCCATTTACCTGAACGGAAACAGACGTAGCCTTAGAGGGAGGAAAGACGAGGGGTTCGATCTTGGAGAGTCCAAAAGTAGATAAATGTCAGCGCTGTGCAATAACCCCAAATAAGTGTTTGTGGGGAAGCTGGGTATTGAGATAAATGTGTTAGGAGTATTAGGAGTATTCTGTGTAATTTCCTAAACCACCGCTGTGGAGGTGGAAATCATACACATTTATCTCAATACCCAGCTTCCCCACAAACACTTATTTGGGGATATTGCACATTGTGCTGATATTTATCTACTTTTGGACATTCTATCACATAGGTTTGCGGAATAACCTTTTATGTCTGGCAGCTAAAAAAATTTATCTTTGGACTTTTAATATTTGGTGTCATACAGACGGTTTAATTTTATATTGCGCTTTTTTGTTTTATTTTTTACGATCTTGGAGAAGTTGAGTTTCAGGAATCGAAGTGTCATCCGGTCAGAAACAGAGGATAGGCAATCAGTGACATGATCAAGCTTAAGGCGAGGGGGATAAGGCTGTCACTAGAGAAGCAGTGAAAATTGAGAAAAGGAGAGGCCCCAGTAGACAGCTTTGAGAAACACCAACTGTGTAGTACAAAAGGGGAAGAGGAATCAGAGAAGTTAAATTTATTCTTGTACTCTGTATTAAGTACAGGCGCACCTCAAAGGTACCACTAAAGCTACATGGCATCTTATCTGTTTCATATTGAAGATAGACACGCACAAGCATAAAAATAGAGGTATGGCCATAGTTGACCTTGAAGAAGTAAGTTCACACTAAATGATATTTTCTCCTCTGTAGGATTTTCATGGCGCTAAAGTGATCTTTTCTGCCAGAACCTGTTTTTTTATATTGAAGAATGTTTTTAATCAAACTGAAATAGATGTTTGTTTTTAAAGAAAACAGCACCTTGTGAACTATTGGGCACTTCATTGTTACTGTAACTGTACTGCACCCCTAACAATTTTGCTGCTGTAATGTGGATAGGTAATAACAGCAAATAAAGAACATGGTGAGTGGATAATGTTGGTATGAATGCTAAATGGCAGGTAACATAGGTTTGTGTCATCTTTCCTACCTCATCTTCTACTGAGACAAAAATCATCAGATCTTGTACGTCATCCCCGTTCACATCTGGAATTTTGAGTACAGGTTTTCTAACAACAGAATTAGATGCAAAGCCAGTGGATGTTTTCCACAGAATATTTCCTGAAAAATAAAAGTTACCTTAGATGTCCTATGTGATATCATGTGACAAGAATGCATGTTTAGGCAAAACCATACAGACACCCACTCAAAATAAATATATCATCCCAAAATCATTAATATGGACTTTGTCCTCCATTCCTTAGTTTTTTAAAGGCTTTCCACTATCTATGCAAATATTTTCTAAGATCAAATTCTGATAATGGGCAGTTTAAGGGACACTCCAACTCAATGTTAATACAACACTTTGACTTTTACATTTCAGCTAGAACATCATGTAAAATAAAATAATTAAAGAAAAAAAGGTTGGTTAATCATTGGCTGTGAGATTTGTCCCATTTGGTTGTCTTACTTGTAATTAAAACTTTTAAAATAGAATATCAGAACCAAGATTAACTTCTGATAATTATCTTTAATCATCGGACTGTTATAATGACCACGCAATGTTTCTGGTTACTGCTTTTCAGCTAGAGAATTTCACAGAGAGAGTGCTCCAGTTTTGTCATGACAAATTACATGTCTTTTCCCACATAACAATGATTAAACCCCTATATTAAATCATGAAAGTAAGCCACATCTACCTGTGTGAGAATTAATTGCCATTAAAGACTCTGGTCTCCCACTGATGATGCAGCCAGAAAATTCCATACCACCAAGGTTAGTTATACCACACTCCGCTAACCGCACATCTTCAGCAACAGGCTTGATCCACAAAGTACTTCCATTTGTCCCAGATAAAGCAGTTAAAAAGGAACATGGAGAACGAAAACCTAGAACAGATATGAAATATGTGTCACACAGTTCATATTAAATTTAACATTTCATGTCCTCCATTTATAGCGATATATCAGGAGCATATAATCCAAAATTGCATGCGACCTAAACGGTGTCACGTGAAGCAGAAAACTGCGGTATAACCTCAAACATTGCTTCAAACGTCCAGCATACATTACTGATTCACATAAGAGTTTCTGAAATCTGAAATTGACGGTATCTATAAATTGTACTACCAGTATGGACAGTGAATGCAGAGATTTGGCGATAGTCATAGATAGTAGTAGCTGGTAAACACTGGCCTTAAATTTGAAATTCACTTTGAAGTCATTTTGAATTCTCACTTTAGTAAATAATCCTGCATTCTGTGATAGGGGAGAGGATGCATCAAAGAAAAACATAATCAAGTAATTAAGAATCAAGTAATTATTTAGATAAAAGTTAAACTAGGATTCAGAATTCAAACTATGTTCTGCAGCAATTTGTAAAATACATGCTAGTTATGGATATCGTAAGTGACACAATCTGAATATACAACTGTGAAGAAAAATAAACACCCCAAAAGCTAAAATAACAAAATCACTTTAAATATTTTTACCTTCATCTGCACAGGTCACATTGAGGTTATCTGTGTCATCTGCTTTAAATAGGAAAAGCACATCTTGAACATTATCCTGATTCACATCTTCAGTGGACAAAAAAGCGTAAGTGCCTGTTCCAAAAGTTGTATGTTATTAAATGGTAAATATATGTGAAGTACACTTAGTATTTGGACAGTACATATTCTTTAAATCTAATAAGAGGAACACCCCAAGCACCAAAATCACTACAGTGATGCCAGGAGTGCACTGGGCCTTGCCAGGTTAAGCAGTCAAACCATTTGCGTACAATTCGACAATTTACTTTTGGAAGCTGAAAGCTTTCTGCACTAAGCTACCTTGATGCTCTTAGCCAATGAGCTGTCCATGCACGGAAGTGCTTTATTCAATGGAACTAACAGATACTACTTGCACGAGCTACCAGCTCCTCAGAAAAGCTGTGACCAGCTTTGAGAATGATTTGATTAGTTACCCTGAGAGAACACGACGAAGTCCTGGCACCATAATGTTGTAGTGGTTATGGTTTGTGGAGTATTTCATTAAAGGAACACTCCACAGTAAAAAGAATTAAACAAAATATTAAAAACAGATAAATAAAAATCACTATTTAGTAGATATATCCCTAATGAAAATAAGAATGCATTTATTTATGAATTTAACCATTGTGGGTATTTCTAAAGAGATGTAGTTCTTATGGCTGCAGCCTTTGCAAGCTCACCCTTTAGGTTTCTTCATGGGGAAATAACCAATCAGAGACTTCTCATTGAGAAGCCTTTGAATCTTTGTGAACCTCTGTGAGCATGTGCAAGCGCTGCACCTGTGGTAGGGAAGGACATTGTTCTGAGGTCTGTGGAAGAGCAATAGGGGAGAAGGCAGGTTCCCTCATGTAGCGTGTGCTTGCCACTCAGGGGAGCGAACATAAGGTGGAAGCAAATCTCCCTGGCTGTCTGATTGATAGCCAGGGAGGTGTTTCTAATTCTAATGAACAAAGTACCAGTTTCTCAAAGAAATCAGCATTTTTATAAACTAGATTTTAAAAGTTTAACTCCATACATGTATTGGGTGAGGAGTAGTGATGTCCCAAACGGTTCGCCACGGAAGGCGAACATATGCGGTAAACTTTGACCCTGTACCTCATAGTCAGCAGACACATTCCAGCCAATCAGCAGCAGACCCTCCCTCCCAGACCCTCCCACCTCCTGGACAGCTCACTAAGAATGCAGCTTCACAATGAATGTAAAATGGATGCTGTCCAGGAGTGGGAGGGTCTGGGAGGGAGGGTCTGCTGCTGATTGGCTGGAATGTGTCTGCTGACTGTGAGGTACAGGGTCAAAGTTTACCGCATATGTTCGCCGTCCGCGGCGAACCGTTCGGGACATCACTAGTGAGGAGTGTTTTTTTTTTTTAATGCTTGAGGAAAGCCATTCAAAATTAACTGCAAATCAGCTTTCAAATGATCACTGAATTCATGTTTATTTTAAACAAGTAGTATTTTTCACTATACACCAGATTGCAGTGAATTAAATGGAATTGTAAAATGTAATCTCAAATAGCCACTCTGAGACAACTGATTTGGAGAATTTTTCAGCTATTTTTGCCAATGCATTGAAAATAATTTTTTATTTTTAATTCACTACAATTCTGTTTCGTGAATTATCCCCTTAGTAATGCTACGGTAAAAAACATTACATTTAACAGTTTTGTCTGTTATAATTTCTCACTGAATTTAACGTGTTAACCCCAAGGGTAACTGTTTATATTAGCTATCTGAAAACGCACTGTAAAATGTCTGTGGAAACAAAATATTTCATCTGACAAACCCCTTACTTACTTGCTCTGCTATATTGCACACTCCATGTCCTCTGGGAATATGGCCTCACTGGACATGGGATTATAAAAGAAAAGGCAAATACAGCAGTCAAGCATAGAAATAGCGAGGCAAAAAAGGCTGCAGTGCGGCAACGTGATAACCAGCTCGGTTTCTTATTAGAGTCATTTGTGTCTCCAGTAGTGTCATTGTTTTCCAAGACTTTTTCATCATTGGTTTTCAGAGGACGAACTTCTGTATCAGTCTCGTTGTTCTCCATACCGAGATTTTATGGGCGACTAACAACTCTGCAAAAGAAATTGATAAAATAAATATCTATCCAAGCTTTTCTATGCCACATTGCTGAAAATACAGATTTGTTCATATAAATCAACATCTGATATAAAACAAAAAACAAAACTGAAAATATATTGTGAAAGTGAAGTTAAAGGGTAAATATATATATCATTGCTGAATTCCTCTTCTGATTTCATCTATATATTGTTCTAGCCATATCGCTAGCAAATAAATAGATTTCTATTAAACCGCTAGAATAATTTAACTCTAAAATCTTTAATTTATTCATTTTCATGGGAAAACACTATTAGAAGACATGCAAACAAAATGCCATAGCCATCCAAGAGGCCTTCATATCAGAGACCTGCAATACTTTTACAAATTCTGAAATAAAAACAGAAGCCCCTTGTCTCCTTTTGCTTTATAAAGGTAGAATTAAATTACTGATTGGCTTAGAGCATCACCTGACTCCCTCAGCCAGTCAGAGGCTTTCGGATTCAAGCCTTGGACAAAAGCAAAAGAAGAGGGGCAGAGCTAGATTCAACACATTGGGTTAAATTGTTTAATATTAGCTTAACCCAGGGCTCGACAAATCTCAGGCACCAGGCCATCATGGCAAATGGGAATTTTGTCCAGGTCGGTTGTAAGGAATGGAGGCGGCAAGGGAGATGTAATCATCTTCTTCTGTTCCCACACATGCTCTGCTGTGATGCCAGGAGCCGAAATATAATGTCACTTCAATCTGGGCATCATTAAACGGTGCGTGGGAGCAGAGGAAGAAGAGCTTGAAGAGGACAGCAGCCCCGCTGTACCCCAGGAACAAGATCCCCACTGAACCCCAGCAAAAGCCGATCCACTCCAGTTCTCACAAAAGGTATGGAGGCGGGTAGACTTAAATTTAATAAAAACAAATAAAACTAATTGTCAATGTGGGAGAGAATGTGTCTCCCAGTTAGTGTGTGTGTATCTCTGTCTGTCAGTGTGTGTGTATGTTTCAACCTCCGATCTCATGGGAACAGTGTTTTTACTCACCTTTTTTCCTCAACCAGTGCCAGTCTCAACGCAGCTGGCCCCGCCTCCATGGCTGAGATAGACAACCTTGAAGATCTCATCCAATCCAATGATTTCCCATAAGAAAGCATTGGTAGGCTATAGCGCACGCAATCAGAATCTCCTCATAGAAATGCAGTGAATTAGTGAATCTCTATGGGGAATGTTCACTGCCTCCATGCAGGGTGTGGAAACGTTGAATGTAGGTGCTACACACTGTGCATAACTGAGATAGGAAGCACTTCTGTAGTCTGATTGACTGCCACTAGAGGTGTTACTAGGCAGCAATGTAAACACTGCCTTTTCTCTTAAATAATCAAGCTTGAAGATCCCATAAGAAAGCATTTTGAGGCTACTGCACACACGCAGCAAAACGCTGCGCCAATCAGCATCTCCTGCATTAAAGGGACACTTTTTGCACCCAGATTAAAAAAATAATAAAAGCCCAAATGCTTGTTTTGCAAAAGTAGAATATTAAGGATATAATGGATATGTATGTGAACAGGTTCTTTATCCAAATCTGATTGCCATTATGGAGTCAAGAAGGATTGTTTTCCTCTTTGTGGTGTAACTGAGAATAGCTACAATTGTGGGGGTTTTGCCTTTTTTTTGGATCAACAGCACAAAAGAATTGGTTTCAAGGTTGAACTTGATGGACTTTATTCTTTTTTAAACCTAGACTACTATGTAACTATGAAGATGAGTTTTGATATTTGCTTACTTTGTTAATACAATTAGAAAGAGGGACATGCAATCAAATAAACTGTGTTTTAAGTCACTACAGTGATGCCAAAACAGGTTGACGTTTCAGTCCCAGCGTGGGACTTTCCTCAGGACAGCATGTAACCGTGATTATATATGGTACAACAAAATTCCTATTGGAGGGTGAAAGATTGAAAGCAAGGACAGGTGACGTCATAATTTACGTATTTAGACAGAATATTAACCAGGTGATTCTTAACTCAATTAAGGTTTGAAAAAGTGACTTAGTGCTAATTAAATACACAGAAAGCTATTTACAGAATAAAAACTAATGATATTAATAATAATAATAAGTAAACCTAAAAAATATTCACTATATCCAATAGTCCTGTTAACTAGCAACAAGTCCTGATTTTTCTGTCTTGCAATATCCAAATGTCTATTAGCAAAATATGTATATAGAGACAAAATCAATATTATTATCCTATCCTATAATCCTGTTAACAAACAACAAATCTTGATTACTGAGTCTTACACTTTCCTAATGTCTACCGGCAGAATATGTGTATAAAGACAGTCAGTGTATCCCATTTATACCACAAAATCTCTTAACAATGTATATTTAAGTAATGCAACATTAGTTACAAAAATTCTCATAATAAGAACACAATGTCATAATATCCCACAAATACTTCATATGTTACTTAATTATCTTCTATTCAAAAAACAATATAAAGCATTTTTCTCATTCAACCCATTGGGTGATAATGCTCCTAAAGTATGGATCCAATATGCTTCACGTTTAAGTAAAGCCAAATCTCTATCCCCTCCTCTCGGGGAGATGGGTACATGGTATATACCAATAAAGCGTAGAACTGCCAAATTGTGACTTGTCTCAAGGAAATGTATTTTATATATCTACATACGTATATTTACAATGAGAAATAAATAAAATTAAAAAATAAATTATATATATACATATGTCATTTCATTCTAACTGTAACTGTCAGATATTAATATATACAGTGGGACCTCGGTTTACAAATAAAAATCCATTGAAAATAATGCCTCGGTTTACAAATTTTTTTCGCAATACAAAGCAAGTTTCCCCAGGATGCATTGCACCTGGAAGGTTTATAGCACCTCCCCCTGCATACTGGAATCTGTGGGAAGCATGTGGAGTCGAGTGTGGAGGTGTTGGAGCGGCTTTTGCATCGAGTTTTAGAGCCATTCTGGAAATTGTTTGCAGTTGTTCTGGGACTTTTTGGAGCATTTTATTGTGTGTTCTGCATTGTGGGTTGGTTCCCATGCCAGCTCACTTTGGCTTTTTTCTGACCTCCAGAACGGATTAATTGGTTTTCAATGCATTCCTATGGGAAACCGTGTTTCCGTTTACAAAAGTTTCGCAATAAGAAAAGTCACGTCCCGGAGAACGCATTACATTTGTAAACCGAGGTCCCACTATATATTGGTAACAAAATACACTTAGAATGTTGTTTTAGAATTGCAATATATATAATTACATAAATGATTACATAAGTATAAAATTTAAAAGTAATAAAAGTATTTAAATTTAATAAAGTTTTCAAATGATTCAATACTATTAAAAAAGCAATGATTTATTTATACAAATTTGCATAGACTTTAATGGTGACTTTTTGGGATAACTTATTTGGGAAAAAAATTCTAACAGTATTAAATCATTTCGAAAGCTAATTAAATAAAGACCTGTGATAGAAAGGACGCAAAATTGTAGCAACATAATTCCGTCTTGAATGTCAGTTCTTCTCAAAAATATTTGCACAGCTCTACATTATACAAAATTAATACATTCTAAACAGATGGTATTTGTAATGGAGAAGGGAGTAAGAGGTGGTGCTACAAAGATACATTTGATCCGGAATATTCAAAGCAGAGTTAACCTGTCACCTGAATGTCATACTGTTAAGCACAATAAGACTACCCAGTAACAAAAGTTTAGTAGCATTAGTTAACCCCTTAACGCTGTCCCGCATTAAATGGGCTTTAAAGCCGTTGCGGCGGCACCGAACGCTGTAACGGATTAAGATCCCTGCAGCTCCAGGATATTCCCCTCCACTGCAATCCGCTTTGGGAGGACTGCCTGACAGCCCATGCAGCCCTCCCACGGCAAACGAGGCTCTTGGGGCCATGGGGTCGCTCTCACAGAGTCCCAATAGCTGCCCATAGAGCTGCCAGCAGGGGGACTGCCTGGGCTGTCAGGCGATCCCCCTGTTGGTGAAGAAAGTTGAAAAAAAATTATGATTACACATTAAAAAATTTTTTATATGTATATATATTTATCTATCTCATCTAGGGATCGACTGATTTTGATTTTTTAGAGCTGATACTGATAATCTTTCAGTTAAATTTACCATTAAAGAAAAACAAAACTATTTCTACACAAATCTACTGTTAACTGAACATGTTTATTGTAACGGACCGTTTTGCACAAAAGGGGAAAAAAACGCTTAGACGATAATCCCCTTTCAGAGACAGGCACAGCTACTGTAGAATCACCAAAACTCACGAATTGAATACAAGTGAATGCTCCAAACTCCCGAACGGCATACAAGGGAATGCTCCAAACACTCGAACTGCATACAAGGGAATGGTCCAAACACTCGAACTGCATACAAGTGAATGTTCCAAACTCTCGAACTGCATACAAGTGAATGCTCCAAACTCCCGAACGGCATACAAGGGAATAAGGTAGCACTCCAAATACACGAACAGGAACCATACGAATTGCTGCTACCAGGCGAACAGGAAAAGCTCCCAAGCGGCTTACACTCCTGGCAATCAGTCCTTAGCAGCATACAGTAAATCCCCCCAAAGACGAGACAAGGCTCCGTGTTGAGGGTCAAGCAGTGGTCTGTTTAATGAGGGCTACCTGCCCAGCTTTTATGCAGGTCTCCCACCTGGTGGACACTCCCCTAGGGGACCAAATGGGAGACTGTGACAAGGGACAGACAAGTATACAAAAGGGACACACAGTCACAGTATATTCCCACAATGCATCCTGGCTTCCTCCCCTCTGCCCTGGGAGATAATTGGGAAGTAACTCAATTATCTCCCAAGACAAAGGCAAAACTCCATTACACACGTGGGAACACAAAACCAGCATAACACTTTAAAATGCACAAAGTAACATTTACTACATAAACCACAGACATGTAACATATCCCCAGATAGCTCAGGTCTGAGTGCACATTATTAGGTGAATGGCACTCAGACTACACGAATACAGTTCAATCGCCATGGAGCCAAAGTCTTTACAGTCAGTTTCATACGAATGGGCTCCATGGGATTCCTATCTGGGGTATAAGATATTCACACAAAAATACCGAACACCGGGTCATTCGTGTGCTTTCACCGAACAAGAAGGGAGGTCGGCGGCTTCAGCGGTGTTCGCGCAAAACTGTGTCCGATTTTAGTTCCATAAAAATAGAGGCGAACACCGCTGTTCATTCGTATGGTTTAAAATGGCCGCGACCTCGTGTTCGGGATACGAACGGCGGCCACCCAGCGTTCATCAATTAAGCTGCGGTTAACCGCAGCTTCAGGGAGGTTAATTGCCGGCACACTCCAGCTCCCAGGTGGTCCAGTCATTCGTACGGTTGTTCGGTAGATTGAAACTACCGAACAACCGGCAGAAAAGCACGAATACAGCTTTTCTGCATGCAAAAATAAAGTCTTTTAAAAGGGGGCCATAGTCCAAAGGCAGCAGGCGAGCAACCAGGCTTCTCCAATGCAATGTGGCGAGATTGGTCTCGTCACATTTATTATTATTTTTTTTTCAAGGTAAATGCACAAAATATACAGTATTTGATTAGTGAATGCAGTGTGTGTGTGTTTGTGTAGTGTTTATATAGTGAATGCAGTGTGTGTTTGTGTAGTGTGTATATAATGAATGCAGAGTGTGTGTATAGTGGATGCAGTGTGTGTGTTTGTATAATGTGTGTATAGTGGATGCAGTGTGTGTGTGTGTTTGTGTAATGTTTATATAGTGAATGCAGTGTGTATATAATGAATGCAGAGTGTGTGTGTATAGTGAATGCAGTGTGTTTGTGTAGCGTGTTCATAGTGAATGCAGTGTGTATGTGTGTAATGTGTATATAGTGAATGCAGAGTGTGTGTGTTTGTGTAGTGTGTGTATAGTGAATGCAGTGTGTAGGTATGTGTGTAAAATGGGGAGACATTTTAATTTTTATAACTTAAAAAAAAAAAAATACATATATATATTTTTTACATTTAGTTTTAGTTCCCCCTCCCTGCGTCTTACCTGGCCAGGCAGGGGGGATATGGCATTCCCTGGGGGGCCCACGACGGTCCTGCAGCTCCCCTGTCTAACTTGCGGCCTGCGTGCCGCGCGAGCGTTACCACGGGTTAGCTCTGACAACCCCACGACTCGCGAGGGTTAGACAGGGGAGCTGAAGGAAAGGCAAGTAAGAGTGTGCTGGGCCCCCCAGAACCCTGATGGCGGCCCCGGTCGGCATTATCGGCCATATCGGTATATTTATTGGCCAATACCGATATTGCTGAAAATAGTGAATATCGGCCAGACTGATAATCGGTCGATCCCTAATAAAGTAACACAATGTAATAGTCTGCACTCACGGTCTCTGTTTGAAACATAGCATTTATTCCTTCGTGGTTAAAATGTGCACATGTTAAAGTGCATACAGTGATGCCAAAACAGGTTGACGTTTCAGTCCCAGCGTGGGACTTTCCTCAGGACAGCATGTAAATATATCATATATATGTAACTTCATACTTAGTGTATTTTAATGTTAATATAATTACATATATTAGTATTAAACACACTAGCATAAAGTTACATATTGTGTATATATATATATATATATATATATATATATACATAAATACCGAGCACTGGCCATCCTCAGGGTCAAACATTATGGTCGGGCAATCAGAGACCCCCGAAGGCCGGAGAACCAGCAGGAGAAAAAGAGCCAAGGTAACTAGCGTGGGCATCCGGGGCAGTGGAAATATACCCAGTGCTGTGTTCTAAGGGTTATTATAGTATTGCTGTATACTCACTGCTGTGCCCATGATAATCCAGTACAAAGACTCACATGCTGTATATACACAGTGCTGTGTCCATGATCGTCTACAAAGAGTCCTGTGCTGTGTACAGTGAGTGTTACATGCCTGCAGATTCCCAATTCACAGCATGTGAGCCTCCAATAAAAAAGGCTTTTTAATGTGATATAATCAGTGCTGTGTAGAATATAATTTTTTTATTTTTTTATTTACCTTTTGGACAGTGCACTGCTTGCATGTGTGCAGAGCCAACCTTTGTGTATAGGGATACATTCAGTAATACGCTCACTACTTGGTATTCTGACTGCATACCAACCTATGTGAGCTTAATGGTTTTCATGTATTTTACTTCTAAAGCACTGCTTTTTTATTCAGAGTTTATATTGCTTGTTTAATTCATAAAAAAAGTCTAATATCAATAGAATTATAGATATATGTGTATTTTATTGCCGTAAAAGCTAACAGTATTACAACATTCACAGTTAAAATGCCACGCAAAACAAACAAAAAAAAAGAGAATTTTTCTTTTTACATTTCTCACACTTTTTAAAAGATTTTATTCATAATAAATTGTTACATATGTGAATAATTGATGTGAAATAAAAGTACTGTTTCTCATGAACAAAATGATACCGTATATACACGAGTATAAGCCGAGTTTTTCAGCACATTTTTTGTGCTGAAAAACCCCCACTCGGCTTATACTCGAGTCAAGGTCTGTATTATAGCAATTTACATTGCCACAATACAGACCAGAACCGCCGGGCTCATTACAAGCCCGGCAGTCCTGTTGGGGGCTGACAGCGAGCTCTTACTTACCTTCCTGCAGCTCCTGTCAGCTCCTTTCTCCTCTGTGCAGCTCCCCTGTCAGCTCCGTTCTGCTTACAGTGTAAGTCTCGCGAGACCCGGTCTTACACTGTGTGCCTTCTGTGTGTTATTAAAGTTCAATTTACAGAGCAGGATATAAAAACTTTTTAATTATGTTAAAGGAACACAAACATGCATTCCTGACCGGGTCTCGCGAGACTTACACTGTGAGCAGAACGGAGCTGACAGGGGAGCTGCACGGAGGAGAAGGGAGCTGACAGGAGCTGCAGGAAGGTAAGTAAGAGCTCACTGTCAGCCCCCCCACTGAACAACCAATGCCACTGGACCACCAGGGATTCACATAGCCCCCCTCCCTGGCCAGGCAACAAGCAGGGAGGGGGGACAAAAAACTATAAAAAAAAAATACAAATATTAAAATAATAATAGAATAATAAAAAAATAAAATACAAATATTAAAATATTAATAAAATAATATAATAATAATATAATATTAAAATAATAATATTAAAATTAAAATAAAAATGCCCCCCTGCCTTCCTGACCCTATAGTGTTAAAACAGTATTTAGTCTCCCCGCCCCCCTTAAATGTAGTAAAAACTGGCCCTATTTCCAGCTCTGGGTGAGTCCAAAGACGCTGGCTCCATCCCTGATCCGTCTCCTTGGCTGACATCATTAGAATTGATGATCTCAACAAATCACACTCCTTTCCCATGAGTATGGTTTCTTCATTTTGGCTTTATTTTTGTTAAATAAATCATGACACACACATTGTATTTACCTAATTTTAAGACTTGACTGTTATTATGTCCTGTTATGTAAAACCACAGAATTTAAAGAGCAATGCACTTTCTTTTTCCCATGACTGTATGTGTATTTTATATTGGATTATAAAACATATTGAAGTGAAATTGAAAAATGTTCTAAGTATTATTTTGTATTGATCACTTAAAGCGAAAGCGCAGCACTGGTTTGGTTAAGAATTTGTCAAACCTTTGTAACCTAATCTAATCTTTTACTTCAAGCCAACCAGCCACTCTAAAATGTCACTTACATTCACATATTTTTCTTTCTACATAAACACTTAATAATGAATAGATTGAATCAAAAGCACATAGACATGTGCTAAACATTACATATCATACATACTTAACCTCTCACCTGTTTATATATAGAGTTTATTCCCGTGCAAAAATCTATTTTTCTCATACCTTTCTTTTAGCCATTGCTTCATCCGTATGTTTATATGTAGTACAAACTATGATAGTTATCTCCAGAAAATGAACTAAAATATTTATACATTTTATTAGAAGCATGGAATATCTCTTTGTTATCTTAAATTCTACTAAGTTTATTTTTTTATTAAAAATGTATTTATACATATTTTCTTTCAAAATTTGATGAAAAAATTATTTTATCAAAAATAGTTTTCAGGTCACAGTTGTCCCTTAAGTCTGAAACTTAATAGAACTCAGGCACCTCCCCATATCCAAACAACTTTGGGGTCTTCTAAATCTGAAAAACAGGGGAGCCCACTCTTAAAAAGTCACATCTTGTAATAGGCTGATTATGTTAAAGGGAACCTCTGGGCACCGTAACAACATCAGTGGAATGACATTGTTGTGAAAAATGGACAATGGCACCTACTTACCTTTAAGAGTTAAGACGTTAGGGAATGGTTTATCCCCAAAGTGTTGAAATGAGTGCCTGTTAGGTGTTCCACTCTCCTTTTGCTTTTGTCCTGAGGATTTAATCAGGAACCTATGGACAGCCTCAGACTGGGGAACTGCTGATTAGCTGGGAGCATCTGCTAAAGCTCTAAGCCAATAAATAGCAACCCATCCACAAAAAAGCTTGAACAAAAATACACAAGTTTCTCAAGCTGTTTTATGAATGAGAAACTACTGATTGGCTTAGAGTGCCAGCTGATTCTCTCAGCAAATCAGAAGTGCCCTTTCTGAGGCTTCCTGATTCAAGCCTCAGACAATAGCAGAAGGAGAAGGGAAGAGCTAACTGGCACCAAATTCAATACTTTGGGGTTAAAGTGTTTGCTAATGTCTTGATCAGCAGTTAAAACTAATGCGAGAAAGGTTGAACTTGATGGAAGCATGTCTCTTTTCAGCCTATGTAACCATTTAACCCCTACAGGTAAGCTGGCGAAAGAGACCTGCTGGCACCACAACAACTTTATTCTGATGAATCTGTTATGGTGCACAGAGGTTCCCTTTAACTTCTTTATGTTGTTACTGCAGTTTCTGTCAATATCTTATCAAGGAGTGTTTGCCACTTATTATCCATACCTTCAATTCTAGTCTACACTAGTTGGTAGAAAATTGTTTTCTTGGGAATAACATCTGACTTGTGGAATTTCTCAAAACTATTCCATGACTTAATTGAAGGACCGCTAAAGGCAGCTAGATCAGTTCCAAAAAGTACATAATTGCTTTACAGGCACATACAGCACTGACAGTAGACATAGTTAAACTACAGGAAGACACCATTACAGTAAAAGGTCATCCAGGCAGACAGTTAGATAGCAAGAGGACATTTACCCAGAGAGATTCAGTATTTCTGTTGTATTTTGCACTGCCTGCAGAGAGAGGGTCAAGCTATGTTGTGCAGAAGATTTCAGGATAACATCACTGCCAGTCCTGATTGGAGCATCTCAACCTGGTGTGTGAGTGGACTGCCTGTAAGTGAAGACAGGTCCCCTAGCCCAGGCATAGGCAACCTTTGGCACTCCAGATGTTTTGGACTACACATCCCATGATGCTTTGCCAGCATCATAGAAGAGTATTATGGGGGATGTAGTCCACAACATCTGGAGTGCCGAAGGTTTCCTATCCCTGCCCTAGCCTGTGACTTGAGGGACTATAAAGGGCTTTAACTGCTTTAGCTTTATATAGTGAAACAAGGGGTTTTAATCCTTTGTTTACCAGGGGGCGGACCTTTAGTTATTGGCAGGGGGCAATATAGCCTTAGGAATAATTGTATTCCTAAGGCTATATTGCCCCCTGCCAATAACTAAAGGTCCGCCACCTGGTAAATAAAGGATTAAAACCCCTTGTTTCACTCACCTCTATCCTGGCTTCGTCTCTCCCCCTACGTCATGGCGATGGAGGAACCTAATGCACATATGCAGGAAGCGCCGTGCGTTCATTAGGCCTTCCCCATAGGAAACCATTAAATCACTGCTTTCCTAGGGGATTTTGAAGATGCTGGACATCCTGCAATCTAAACACTGCAGTTTCTCTGAACAAGACAGGGACACTGCAGCCAGACTACTTCAATGAAATGAAGAGGAATCGGTGCCTATAGTGTCCCTTTAAAAATAGAATATTAGTGAAATTAACCTGATTGGTAAAACGTATAAAATGTTACTGGGTAACAATTTTGGAATTTCAATTTCATGTCACTATAATTTGGTGTTTAGAGTACAGTAGGTTAATATACTCCATAAGCTTCATATGGCTTTTTAAGTAAATCCTTGCATTTGCTAGCAATTCAGCTAGCAAAAAAGTATATTAATTATATTCCCCAGCTATTATTTAAAGTAACACTATAGCGTTAATAATACAAATGTGTATTCCTAATGATGTAATGCCCTAGTGGCTGTTTAGGTCCTTGGCCCACACCTGTACGGAGAAAAAAAAGGTAGTTTACTTACCTTTGCTTCCTTCCAACGCTGGTTTCCACATTACCGTCCTGTCTTCTAAGCTGAGCTCATCAAAATCGGTGATCTCAGCCAATTCAATGATTTTGCATGGCAAAACTGTGAGCTGCGCCAATCAGATGGTCTGATTGAAACGACTGAGTTTTACACTTCTATAATGTGGTCTGGGTGCCTATAGTGTCCCTCTAATAAAAAAAAAATGTTGTATAATAGGTATGTTGAATCTGATATAAATAGATGACCTTGTGCATTTATGAGAACTGTAAAATGTATTGTTCCATTTACTGGAGTACAAAGTCCAATGTTTTCTAATTTTATTGGCTGAGCACTTACTAAACCCAAAAAGAGAAGGAAAAAAGAAAAACACTAACTGGCTTGTTGAACTTTTGCAGGTATATCGTAGTATGTTTTTATATTGGTGAAAACACAATTCCACAAATCATATATCATTTTGAGAAAACTTTGCTGTATAAAAATATACAAAATTGTGAACTTTTTAAAAATTTCAATAAGATGCATGACAAATAATGTACTTGGTTAGTTTAAGACTGTAGCGATTATGATGAGAGAAGTACCCTGGCCCGGTTTCCTGGCAATAGGGCAAACCAATTAGCAAATATTTGCCCCGATATGTGGGTCCCCGCAGGGCTTGTAAGCTTCTGTGACAGACTTATGGCTTCAAAGGAGTTGTAGGAGCCAGGGAATGTGTCATCCATTTCCTTGAAAGCGTCACCTGACCGCTCTAAGGCAATTAATGCAATTCTGTGCAATCGTAGTTGCAAAGAATTTACATTAGTCAGCTCAGAACTGTCTGAAGACACTCCAATGATACTGCCAGTGGTGGAGTTACACCTCTTGCATAAGCACCTTTTCTGTATATGCACCTTCTGATAGGGAAACACTGCACATACAGACTCCAGGTACTATGGTCACTAGTGATGTCCGAAACGGTTCGCCGTGGACTCATCATTGAGTAATCTTTGACCCTGTACCTCACAGTCAGCAGACACATTCCAGCCAATCAGCAGCAGACCCTCCCTCCCAGACCCTCTCACCTCCTGGACAGCTCACTAAGAATGCAGCTTCACAATGGATGCTGTCCAGGAGGTGGGAGAGTCTGGGAGGGAGGGTCTGCTGCTGATTGGCTGGAATGTGTCTGCTAACTGTGAGGTACAGGGTCAAAGTTTACTCAATGATGAGTCTGCGCCGAACCGTTCGGGACATCACTAATGGTCACTTCAAATCATTGAAGTGGTCATGATGCTCGGAGTAACCCTTTATTCTTACTAATATAAATATATTATGGTTTTACGGATATCATTAGTTTACCTTTTAAAACCATTAATATACACAATTATACTTTTTTATCCCTTGTTTTTCATTTGAAAAAATAAATAGCTTAGCTACGCAGCTAAGCAGGGTTGAGCAGTGCTGCTCTTGCTTGCCAATGAGAGTTGGCTTGTATGGGACCTGCTTAGCTCAGTGAAGACATCCGGCTTCCCTTCCAGGAGAAAGCTGGATGTGGCTTGTATGTCTGGGAGAGCTTTAAGCCTGACTGGCACTTCAAACAGAATTTAGAACTGAATGTCACAATAAATGATTAAATTTAACATTTGGGTTGCTGAGAATTCTGGTGCATCCAGGATTTTCTTAGATGCCTATTCCCCTAGTTAACACAATACAACAATGAATAGTTCCAACAAAAAATAAATGAGTTAAATAATAATGTTTAAGTTTTAAGCCCCTACCTGTAGGGAATAAAAAAATGGACTTACCTTTGCTCCCTCGCAGTGCTCCATCTCAGCCAATCCAATGCTTTCTAGTAGGAAAACATTGGAAGGCTAGTATGCATGAGACCATCTGATTAAAATAGACAAGTTTTACTCTGCTATTTTGGGAGAGGTCCTCTAGTGGCTGTCTGAGTGACAGCCACAAGAGGCATTTAAAACATGAAATGAAAACATTGCCGATTTGCAGAATGGCAATGTTTCACTTGCAAGGTTAAAACGTGGGAGATATTAAATTCACACTACTTCATTGAGATGAAGTGGTCTGGGTGACTATAGTGTCCCTTTAAAGGCACTTTGTAAAAGTGCCTATTTCAATGCGAAATGTGGCACTTTTGGAATTCTATTCTTCTTTTGTTAGATCTGGTGAGATAACAGAAGTACGCATGCATTCTCCCACAAGTCACTCAGAGCCTGTGAGCCTGCACCAACAGGGCTCCATTTTACCTGGTCCAATGAGAAGTCTCTGATTGGTTATTTCCCAAGCAATAAATAAAAGTCTGTGGTGGGAAAAAAGGGAGGGCTCGCAAATGGTGCAGACTTAAAATCTGTACATTTTGCAAGCTTCTTTTAAGACTTATCCCCAATGACAACATACATAAATGCATATATGTTTTAATTGTGGTTATATCTACTAAATAGTGACCCCCCCCCTTCTCACCTGCTGGGTTTTTCTGGCCAAAGTATCAGTACAGTTAAAGGACCACTATAGTGCCAGAGGAAAGGAGTTAAAACTTACCTTTTTCCAGCGCCGGGCGGGGAACTCTCCTCCTCCTCTCCTCCCATTCGGCTGAATGCGCACGTGCGGCAAGAGCTGCAAGCGCATTCAGATGGTCTCAAAGGAAAGCATTTACAATGCTTTCCTATGGACGCTTGCGTGCTCTCACTGTGATTTTCACAGTGAGAAGCACGCAAGCACCTCTAGCGGCTGTCAATGAGACAGCCACTAGAGGCTTTGGAGGAAGGATTAACCCATTTGTAAACATAGCAGTTTCTCTGAAACTGCTATGTTTATAAAAAAAAATGGGTTAACCCTAGCTGGACCTGGCACCCAGACCACTTCATTAAGCTGAAGTGGTCCTTTAAGCTGGATAATTTTTCCTCATGAGCCATTTTAGACAGATTTTGCAATTCATTTTTATGTAGCTACAATTCAGAGATGAGTAAATAATTCTGTAAATTATAGCTTCTAAAAAAACGTGCCTTTAAAGGGACTGTTTAGCTTCATTGAGCTAACTACCACGAAGTAACAGGACAGACAGTAACTGTCTTGTTTATCTGCTTGACAGCCAAGTGGGGTTACCAAGATTTATGTATAAAAAGTACCAAGTTTCTATTTTAAAAAACCCCCCAAAAAATATGACACAATCTTCACACTTAAAACACTTCAGCAAGCTGAGGTGTTTTAGGGGGTCTGGAGTGTCCCTTTAACCCATTAAGGACCAAACTTCTGGAATAAAAGGGAATCACGACATGTCACTCATGTCATGTGTCCTTAAGGGGTTAATAAATCGCCTGGTAATAATTCACCCACTGATCATACAGACAGTCACATCGGACGAGCTGAGAGTATTGGATACGGAGTTAGTACATACCAAGTAGAGATGCCCATAGCCTGCGATCACTGCAATACCCAGTGCAGTCAGCATTACTCAGGCACAAGAAGGGAGGGGGGCAAAGCATGACATCACTTCCGGATAGCAGTAAAGGCACTGGACTGTTCCAGGGAGAACAACCAGAACAGCCCTAGGGTGTACCGACATGCCCGGGGACAATAGAGAAGGTCACTTCCGGGGAGAAGGGAATAAACATAATAAAATGTGACATACACCCGGACTCCCCTATTTTAGCAGTTTTTATAAAGCCTTGTTTTGACACCATTTGGTCTCCTGTAAATGTTAGTGTGGTGATATATAATGTCGGTCCTGTGCACACAGTAATAACATATTTAGCGTTCGATACAGCTTTGGATAGCAGATCGCTATATCGGAAAAGCCCCCAATAATGAGCAGATGGATCCGTGTCTGGAACATACGGTTTGTATTTTACTGGCGATGCTAAACATTTTTTTTTTTTTTTTTAAATACAAACGTATACGCTGTGAACTATACTTCCCGTGATGCTCACCAACCCACTACGATGACTTCAGCATGCCGGGAAATGTAGTCCACGGCGTATACGTTTTTTTTTTTTGAATAATGTTTAGCATCGCCAGTAAAATACAAACCGTATGCTCCAGACACTGATCATGAGAGTATGACTTTGGCACGCCGGGAAATGTAGTCCACGGCGTATAGGACAAACAAGGGGCTTCTTCCCGTGTGTAGGTCGGACTACATAGCTCGGCGCACCGTGACGTAACTTCCGTTTTCCTCCACTCCCTTTGCATCCCGCAATCCGGGGCCACTTGGTTCATCCGGGCCATTAAGTCGGCGGTGATCTAGCGCGCTCGCCCTCGGGACGGGGTATCACCGGATGAATGATGTCTGCACAGGCCCAGATGAGAGCCCTGCTCGACCAGCTGATGGGCACCGCCCGCGATGGTAAGTGGCAATCCGACAGATCACCATTGTATGTAGCTGGGCCTGTGGCCTTCACTTCCTCCTCACGCGGCCATAGCAGCCTTTATGTGCGCTCTGTGCATTGTATCGCTGGGCTGGAGGCGCCTGCTCGCCATTACAGGACTGCTTACACATTGCTTACACGGTTTATTTTATTTCTAAAAAAAAATATTTATATCTGGTCGTCGTTATGACTGCCATCGAGAAATATTTTTTTATCTATAAGAGCTTTTGAGTGCGCAGGTGTTTTTATTTATTTTTCTTTATAAGACGTTAAATTGTTACACACATACACACACCTATAAACACAGCATCCCCCCAAACACACAGAAACACCGCATCCTCTCCCCCCCCCCACCCAAACACACAGAAACACAGCATCCTCCCCAAAACACAGAAACACAGCATCCTCCCCAAACACACAGAAACACAGCATCCCTCCCAAACACACAGAAACACAGCATCCTCCCCCCAAACACACAGAAACACAGCATCCTCCCCAAACACAGAAACACAGCACCCCAAACACACACACATTCAAACACAGAGTACCCCAAGCAGCACACACACATACAAACACAGTACCCCAAACACACATACAAACAGTACCCCCAAAACACACACACATACAAACACAGTACCCCCCAAACACACACACACACACACACACAGTACCCCCAAAACACACACCCACATACAAACACAGTACCCCCAAACACACGACATACAAACACAGTACCCCCAAACACACACATACAAACACAGTACCCCCCCCAAACACACACACACACAAACACAGTACCCACACACACAAACACAGTACCCACACACACACACAAACACAGTACCCACACACACACACAAACACAGTACCCACACACACATAAACACAGTACCCACACACACACACACATACAAACACAGTACCCCCCAAACACACACACCCCACACACACACACACATACACATACACAGTACCCCCACACACATACACGAGTACCCCCACACACACATACAAACACAGTACCCCACACACACACATACACAATTACCCCCACACACACACACACACACAGGTACCCCCCCAAACACACACACACAGTACCCCCAAACACACACATACAAACACAGTACCCTCACAAACACAGTACCCCCCCCAACACACACACACACACACAATAATTTTAACTCATCAATATCCGTATCAATAGTTATGATATGGCATTTTAATTTTAGGGAGCATGGAATAAACTGATGGTAATATTTCAAATAGATGTTATAATAAGTATATAAATAATGTTGTACATATTAATAGTAATAATAACGATATTCAGTGAACAATGAATCGGGATTGCAAAGTAATTAATCTTAATTTGAGTCTTTGTTTTCTGGTATGTAAAAGAATTTTGTGAAGGATTTTTGTGGTGAGCTTTGCTTAGTTAACAATGACAGACTTGTACTGGAAGTTTTACTTTGTAAAACTTGTAATCCACTGAATAGCTTCTCCCCATTGTACAGTGCTATGGAATTTCCTGGCGCTATATAAATGTAATAATAATCAAGCCATAGTGCCCTTTAGACATACATAAACAGTTAATCGCTGTGCAATATTTCTATGAGTAATGTGCCGGTGTGTTTTGTGGAAATTAGTAGCCCTATATTTCTTAACAGCAATCCATAATGTTTGTAACTGTAAAATTGATACTCTTCTGTATTCAAATACATTTTTTTTATTCTCTGAAGCATTTTATTAGTTTGCCCATGACCTAAGTGCGTTTTAATTTCAGCTACTTTGGCCAAAAAAAATTAAAATGTATTTTGTTTCCAACAATTTGCAGTTTAGTGTGTAACACTGCATATATTTACTGTTTTCAATATAGTGCACAAACTAGAGCCCTGGCACTAAATTGGAGTGCTAAATCCACCTTATTTTCTTACAAAAACAGCAACAAAAAGTAAAACTATCCCACCCACACATTACAATGATTTCTAAATAAAAAAAGCAATGTATGTACGCCAACCCGAGACTGTATTTAATCTGATGCTTTTCACTTACTTTATATTGTTCAGTTATTACACTTTCACTATTTTACCTTGGTTATTATTATTATTATTTCAACTTATATAGTGCCAACAGATTCTGTAGAGCTTTACGATATTATAATGGGGGAGGGGGTTTGGCTATAAATAGGACAATTTCAAGAAAACTTACAGGAATGAAAGGTTGAAGAGGACCATGCTCAAACAAGCTTACAGTCTAAAATACAATAGGACAGGGAATAGCAATCAAAATAGGTGGGAGTGTAGAGTGCTTCCCTTCAGGGGATAGCAAATGTGAGGTAAAGGATACTCTGGGAGGCCATTAGCTTTCCTAAAAAGATGGGTTTTAAGGTACTTCTTAAATGATTGAAGACTAGGGGAGAGGCTGTTTCATAGGAAGGGAGCCGCCCGCGAGAAGTCCTGCAAGCATGAGTTGGCTGTCCGGGTGCGTGCAGTGGACAGAAGAAGTGGGGAGAGACCGAGAAAGGGGGAATACCTATGGATCTATGAAGAGATTTAAGAGGGGCTAGAATTGGTCAATGCTTTAAAGGTATGGGTTAGCATTTTCAATTGACTCAATGTAAGGACTGACAAAGGGGTGAGATGTGAGAGGACCGACTAGAGAGGAAAATCAGTCTGGCGGCAGCATTCATTACAGATTGTAGCGGGGCAATACGTTTTTTGGGAAGATCAATTAGGAGAGGGTTAAAATAATCCATGCAGGAAATTACTAAAGCATGGACAAGCTCTTTGGTAGCATCTTGCGTAAGAAAGGGGCGGATGCAGGCTATGTTTTTAAGATGTAACATGCTGGATGTGAGGCTAGAATCAAATATGACACCAAGACAGCGTGCTTGCAAGGATGGACTGATTTGGATACCCCTGACTTGAAGAAAGCAAAATAAGAGGATTAGGAGGAGGAAAGACAATGAGTTCAGTTTTAGAGAGATTTAATTTTAGAAAGTGGGAGGTCATCCAGTCAGAGATCGAGGAAAGGAAAGCAGTGACACGTTGCAGGACGGCGGGAGGAGAGAGATAGCTGGGTGTCATCAGCATACAGATGGTAGTGGAATCCAAATGAGGCAATATGTTTGCCAAGAGAGGCGGTATAAAGAGAAAATAGAAGTGGACCAAGGACAGAGCCTTGGGGGCCTCCAACAGAGACAGGATGAATGGAGAAGGTATCAGAAAAGGAGACACTGAGTGAACGTTGGGAGAGATAGGAGGAAAACCAAGAGAAGACATTGTCACAGAGACAGTGATTGAAGAGTTTGAAGAAGGAGAGCATGATCAACGGTGTCAAAGGCAGCAGAGAGGTCAAGAAGTATTAGTATGGAGTAGTTGCCTTTGAATTTAGCTGCGATTGTCATTAGTAACTTTGAAATAGCAGTCTCAGTGTGAAGGGGGTGGAAGCCAGATTGAAGAGGGTAGAGGAGAGAGTTGGAATTGAGGAAGTGAGACATACGGGTAAAGACAAGTCTTTCCAGAAGCTTTGAGGAAAAAGGGAGCAGGGATATGGGACGATAGTTCAAGATAGGTACTACAGTAGCATGTTTAAGGTCAGCAGGGACAATGCCAGAAAAGAGCAGTTGAAGATGTGTGTTAAGGCACAAGACAAGGGGAGAGACATCTGATAAGGTGAGATGGGACAGGATCAAGCGGGCAAGTGGTGGGGTGAGAGAAAAGAAGCGCAGCCACCTCTTGTTCACTAGACGGGGAGAAAGTTTGAAGGGTAGGAAAGGCATGATCTATGTGTGGTTGAGAAAGGCAGAGTGGGGAGAATTCTTTTCTTAGCTGTTCAACCTTGTCAGTAAAGCATGCAAAGCTCTCGGCTGTAAGGTTCGTTTGAGGGAATAGTAGTTAAAGGAACATTTCCATAACATCTTTAGCTTATGGAGGTTATGGGGGGCAGGAGTGTTTAAGTATTGTCTTACCTTTAGGGGTTAAACTGTTTTTCCAGTTGGTTCCCTAGGTTGGCATCTGATACCACTAGCCCTCACTGCCTTCCTCCAGCCACTGCAGTATGAAGATGTTGCTGTGTAGCTGGTGATAGTATTAACCTATGACTGGCCAATCACTAAGGGAACTAGTGCATAAGATTTATTTAAATAGGTGGCCTTTGGTAGGCTGAGAGTGTCAGATGATGCTCTGTCTCTGTAAGTAATATCCTTCTACGATATTGGTGTTGAACGCTGGAGGTCAAACTTTAGGATTAAACCATTGGAAACTGGTTTAAACCTTGAAGATAAGATAGTGCCTGTTTTTCTTAAGGCTGCAGTATGCTTTATAAAATAATTGTTCATCCTTTAATATAGTTATTCTGAAATAGTGCAACAATCCAGGGTTCACTGCTCTCAAATGCTCCAACATTTTGATCTATAACTGCACGTTTTGCAAACTCTTGAAGACTGTTTATGTTTAGAAAGGTTGAGCCATAGCATTGTTACCTTGTTGCACTTTGAATCAAGAAGTAAAAAACTGAGACCGGATAAATATGTCAGTCAAAGCTGGTGGTCAGAATTTTAGTCTCTAGCCTCTAAAAGTTGCTTTGGTTGTGTGGATTCATAGCATAAATTTTTTTTATTTTTTTTTTAAATCAACCACTTTGTTTGATCTCATCAATATAATAGGAAGGTTTAGTTTATTTACAGATGTTGAAATTAAGTACACAAGTCATGTTATGACTGACGGCATACCTAATGAAATCAATCTTGTGTAGGATTTTCCATACCGAAATATTTGGAGAGCATGGGGTTTCTCTTAAGTTAGAAATCAAGACACGCCCCTTATATTCAAATAACCTTGTTTAAAGCAGTGTGGAAAAACAGCTCTGCACGCGTGACATCAATTATTTAGATGCAAAATGGACTATTACACTACTACTCTAGTGTAAAATCAGGAAGATGAGGCTCCAAATGGATAAATGAAATCCAGAATTGAAAAATATCTTTTCTGCAGAGATACAGAATATGATCAGCCTTTGTGCAAACTGCATATAGCTATTCTGCCTTGATTCAGTTTTAAAGTGTCATTATAGTCACCAGATTCACTACAGTTTAATATAGCATGTCTCTGCACACATTTTAATGTAAACAATGCCTTTTCAGAAAAAAAGGTTTACTTTACTGCATAGGAACACTTCTAGTGGTAGTCACTCAGACAGTGACTAGAGGTTTCTTCCTAGTCCAGTGCCTCCATGCAGAGTATATCGCAGAGTATATCTGTGCTCTGCATGGTGGCACTGAACTTCCGCATAGAGATGCATTGATTCAATGCATCTCTATGAAGAGATACTGATTGGTGCAGTGTGTCGTTTTGGTGCGCATACGCAATAGCCTCCCAATGCTTTCCTTTTGGGAAAGAGATCATAAAGTTTGATCTCAGCCATGGAGGTGGAGCCAGCTGCGGCAAGACCAGCATAGGAAAAAAGGGTATGATTAAAGGACCACTATAGTGCCAGGAAAATATACTCCTTTTCCTGGCACTATAGCGCCCTGAGGGTGCCCCCACCCTCAGGGTCCCACTCCCGTGGTGCTGAAGGGGGAGGAAGGGGTTAATCCCTCTTTTCCAGCTCCCTCTTCTAACGTCCCTGGCTGAATGCGCATGCCTCTAGCGGCTGTCAATGAGACAGCCACTAGAGGCTGGATTAACCCATAGGTAACATAGCAGTTTCTCTGAAACTGCTATGTTTACAGCAAAAAGGGTTAAACTTAGCTGGACCTGGCACCCAGACCACCTCATTAAGCTGAAGTGGTCTTGGTGCCTATAGTGGTCCTTTAAACGTGTTTTTTTTTTTGTTTTTTTTTTACGGTGATCTGAGGGGAGCCGGGGACCTAAATAGTTTAATACTATAGTGTCAATAATACATGTTTGTGTTCCTGACACTGTAGATTATAGATTTAAGATTGGTAATGTGAATTGTGGTGAGTTTGCATTAATTTGCCCCCTTATTACCAGTTATTGTTTGAATGACACAGTTTAGTGTTAATTACTAGGATTATCTTTTTGTTGTTGCACTAAGGTGTGTTTTTGTGGTTATGAATAACTGTAGCAATGTAATGATTCATATAAGGCATGTATTTCAGTCTGTTTGGGATTAATTCATATTAGCCTTGTGACAATACAGTTTCTAGATCTTAAAATAATAGATTATCTTGTTGGTGAAGTTCACAGAATGAATACATAGTAGAAACATCTTCAGAAACTGAATGGTCCTGCACATTATCATGCACTTGTATCTTTATAGATTATAACCAGCACCCTATTGAATCAGTCGGAACAAAATCAGACTGCGTTAGAGGTAAAAGTTGGGTCATAACCAGTGTTACAAAGGTGTACATTACCAATTGTCCACTAAGTGTCTATATAACCTGTAATACATTTGCAAATTTATAACACTTGTGCTAATAAGGATCTCAATAGATGGCATATACACTAGGTCTTGATCCAGCAGCTCCTATATTTTCACAAGCATTGCAAATTGGATTCCGCAGCACTAGAGTGCATTGGAGAAAAGTATGAAACACTCTTACCTCTGAAGCACCTGTGGGTCCAGGCACCAGCATCCTCCCACAATCCTTTGTAGAAAGTGCCATATGAGCAAATGACTCTCATTCCACAGTGCTGTATGAATACTTGTGCCCTCAGTGCACTGTACTATGGGGGTCAAGTTCTTCTGCATCGTATACTTTGGCTATTGGAGGACATGTTGGCATATGTTGTTGGTTTGTTTTATAAAAAGTCTCTTGTGAGAGTATAATACAATAATAATAAAAAAATAATCAGGTGGGTATTCATATTTACTTTCATTTTTTTTTTTTGCAATATTGTGCCCCTCTTCTAGTCACCTTTTAATCCCACCAATCTAATATCTTCCTCTCATTATAGCTATTGTTTTAACTTCCCTTTATAATTCTGTACCTTCTCACATTTATGTTGACTAGTGAGACTGCTAACTGCATGTGACACCGTCATGGTGTATACAATACAAAAAAAAAAGTTTGCTTGTGCTTTATCAGGGAATTATGGTGTCACAGGTCTGTAGTGATATGTGCAATAGTTTTGACATATCTTGAGATGACATCTTTGGAATACAGGGTAATATGTGGTTGACATGGGCGGGTGTAGATTAGCTTTTGGGAACCCTAATAGTTACATTACTGATTTCTTATATAGATGTTTAATTTTTAATAGTTTATTACTTTTAGCTGTTTTATGTTGCATCTCATATTTCATGCAAACTGAACAATTGCGGCTCCTTTATTTCATTTATTAAGGTTCAATGTATCTTTGCCTGCCTACATCTGCACTGGAGTTGCAGAAAAGCCTCGCTCGTCGAGCCGTGAGTCACAATTCATTTTTAACGCTGTTGTAATAAAAATTTGTTATTCACAACTACTTGCATAGCTGTGAGAAATAGTCCAAATGCTTGCAATTTTATTCACAGCTGTTGTAAATATACTCTTGTTGAGCTCAAAAGTTAAGTATCTATGTATGTCTGCTTCATGCCTCCTAATTTTCTCCTATATATTTTTTTTTTTATTGATCTCCCTATCTGATTCGAGTCAAAATTTCCAAGCCATATATAGGATGATGGCCATTGGTTTATCCCAAAAATGGCAAAGTAGTTGCAACACCTTCCTCACAGCAGCAACTTGAAATACGTAATTTTCCATGGTACGGTATAGAATTTGGCTTCTTAGGTTACGTTTGTTTTAATTTTTACTTACTCTTAACTGTGCTGTTGGATTTCTGAAAATGTGTGTGGTTTCATAATTTACAAAATGTCCACGAGTTACTAAATTACATTTAGACTCAATATAAATAGGGCAACTTTCCCAGTGTTTAGCAAACAAATACATTTACAAGTTCTCACTTACAGTATTTTATGCAACCATTTAACTTTGTTCCCTGTCACCAATTGCCATTGGTTTTCTTTGTGGAACTTTAATTGGTTCTGATTTGTTTCAGAATTTGATGTGTATTTCTGCATTAGACAATACACGTTTTAATGTTTACGTGTTCTGTATTAAGCTTCTTGGATCATTCCTAGCTTAAAAAAATAAATAAATAAAAATTCTTCCACCCTGTAGTCACGTGTATAACATGTATTTTATCCGAGATGTGGTCAAACCACGTGTTACTACTAAATTTATTTAGTGGATAACTAGTATTATTGCTACAGTTATCCAATAAACACATCTCAGCTGTTTCTTTTACTGTGCAGTTCAGGTTTTATCCTTTCCAGCTATCATTTATATATTTCCTGGGACCGGTTGACCTAAAGGTTTCTAGGGGTTAGTACGTGAAGATGGGTTCCTTGAGGATAAAACCAGTATTACCACTTTAATAGAAAGTTGTACAGCGACCAATGAGTCAGTTGAAAGTATTTTATGTGGAGCAATGCAGCCATGTGCATGACCTCAGCGGATAAACAGAAAGACAAGTTTATTATAAATTGAAAAGCAATGGCTGAAACACGATAAGGTTTGCATTTAAAAAGGTAAGAAGATCAACTATGGCAGCGATGACGCAACTTGTTTCCTCACGAATTATAAGATTGTAGCACAGGTGTTTTTTTTTTGGGGGTTCAGGGTCTTATGGCATTAATATAACCTTTAACTTGTGTGTATCCTGAATATCTTAACATTAACAATCTATTTTTATGATGCTCATTCTTTCAAACTCCCCACCTAAAGCATCAGTTTAAAGTGCAAGTTTGTTAAATAGACTTGTTTCGTTGTTTTCTTCATTGCTTAATTTCTTGTTTCTGTAATGAAGAGCCACCCTACTCCAAGTAGTCAAACCAGACATAGAAACCAAAAACTTTACTTGGCATAAAGAACACCACCAAAATGATTCCATGTGCTCTTAAGCCTTTAAAGAGGAACTGTCACTTTTATAACTGATGTTTTATAGTTGTGGCAATTCAGTAAGAATTTGTCTTAATGTTTTTTTTTGTTTTTTTTTATAATTTAAAAGGACACTATAGTTACCCAGACCACTTCAGCTCAATGAAGTGGTCTGGGTGCCAGGTCCCTCGGGTCTTAACCCTGCAGATGCAAACCTAGCAGTTTCAGAGAAACTGCTATGTTTACATTGCAGGGTTAAGCCAACCTCTAGTGGCTGTCTTCCGGACAGCCACTAGAGGCGCATCTGCGACGCTGGGGGCATATTATGCCTCCATCATGCAGAGCGTCCATAGGAAAGCATTGAGAAATGCTTTCCTATGGACACTTTGAATGCGCGCGCATGCGGCTCCGCTGACGGCGGTGGAGGGAATAAGGTAAGCTGCTGAAGGGCACTATAGTGTCAGGAAAACCACTGTTTTCCTGACACTAGTGATCCTTTAAATATATAGTTACTTGACATTTCTATAGATTCTCGGTGCCCAGGGTTAAAGGTAATGGGGCAGATGTCTTCCTTGTGCTGTAAGTTTGGGTGTCATGCTGGGTTGTAGAGGGAGTCCCGAAACCATCTCTTGTGTCAGCTAATGCATAGGCAACTTATGAGGCTAAGGGGAAATCAGAGCTACCGTTTTTCCAATTTTTGCATCCCCTTGGCAAATTAGTCCATAGCTATGTGGAGCATTGATACAGGTTTATAATTTGCAAATATTTGATGCAATATACATTTGGTGTTTTAGTCATCTGGGTAAAAGTGCCCTGATAGACTATCTGTAGTGCAAAAGAGAGGATGTATGTATTTCTGATGGGAGTAAAACTGATTGTAGTATTGAGTGAAACCCAACTAAAAGGCCACCATTACTATGTTAAATATATTTACTATTGGCATTTCTGTAGCACCAAAACCCAACAAATAATTGACATAAAAATTTTGTCAGACGAGGTAAAGAAAACCCTTCAAGTTTATAATCAGAGATATGACATATAATGTATTCTGAAATCTACTTATCGCAGGTGTGACAGATTCTCTTTAAGAGACATTTCAAGCACCACACCTCTAAGAACACATTCAATGTAATGGAATATTGTGCAAAAATATATTGATGTCTTATTGTGTTTTTTTGTTTTTTTTTTGCATGATGTCAAACGCATGGATTTAGCAGTTTTTTATTTATTTTTTTTGTTTTCCTAGTAGCTAAAAACCATTTTTTTTTGTTTTCTATATACCAAGATGGAATATGCAATACAAGCATTTTGTGAAGACACTGCATTCAGGAAATGGCAGTTTAATACAACATTTTGTCCAAACCTCATAAATATGTCTAATTTTACATGTAATATTTCAATGTATTTGTTGGGGGAGGATTTAAGTTCTTTGAATTAGTTTTTCTTCATTCTTCCTTACAGTGCCATCAGCATTTTACTAAACTGCAGAGTAATGTAATTGGTGTCCTGCAAATGTGAAGGTTTATATTATCGTTATAGTGGGGGTGAGTAAGTGGCCTACTGACATGGACACACTCCTCAGATCTTGGAGACATTAGAACTGCTTTTTGCTTAAAAGGCTAGATCAGTCTTACAGTGCTGTTTCATTTAATGCTACTTCTTAGTAACTATATTCAGCTTGGATTTATGTGCAAAGCCCGTTAGACTGTATTTTATACCTTAATTGATTAGAAAGTAACATTCAAGTGCTATACAAATGCGTGTAGCATTTTAAAGCCCTACCAGTTAGGACAGGGGTTCCCAACAGAGTCCTCAAGTACCCCCTAACAGTCAAGGATTTAGAGATTATCCTATTGTGTCTAAAGTGTTTTTAAACTTTTTTTTATTCTTTCTAAAAACACGTTGGACACAACTGGGTAATCCCTAAGTCCTGGACTGTTAGGGGGTACTTGAAGACTCTGTTAGGAACCACTGCGTTAGGGTAAAGTGTTTAATAGTTTTAATTTTAGGATTTAAAAAAAAAAATTAAAAAAAAATTTAAGCATGCCTTTTAACAAATGCCTGTTTTGTTTTTGTTGAAATTCAGAAGCACTCTTAACACAATTTTTTGAGAATTATGGTTGTTGTTGCAAGACAAGTATTTTTCTTGTAAATAAACGTAAATATTTTTTATGGGCTGTATAAACTTTCCAAACTACTACTAGTGTGTTAATGGTTGGATACTGTGTAAAACTTCTGGTTTTTGTTTTTTAGGTGATGAAACTCGGCAGCGGGTGAAGTATACTGATGATCGCGTCTGCAAAAGTCATCTGTTGGATTGTTGCCCCCATGACATTCTTGCTGGAACGGTAATTATTAAATTTGATTTAATTCACAAAAATTGGGATATATTGATATACTTGTTCCCTTATCATTCTCCTCCCCCCACAATCCTATCCAGTGGTTTTTAACATTTGCCTGGGCATTACATGTGTCATCTCTGATGTCTACTCTGAACAGTTGGGTTGAGTTAGGCTTCCAATGTTTCTTGTAGCTTGTTCTCTAGTGAAGGACACGGAATGTGATCCCAAACTGCAGTGTTTGCCACCCTAAAGCTATTCCTATCAACTAAAAGAAGCTCAATTCTATATGCCTCTACTTCCCACTGATGTCGTGAGATTTAGTCCTGGAGCCCCCAGATTTTCTCACCAGTGGCAAGAGGAATGGCAAAGTATGAAGTGACAAGAGAATTGTGCTTTGTAATAAAAAAAACAAAAGTAACCCTTCCACTTCCGTTTTACTGCCTAGTTGGGCAGAAGATTATGTATTTTATACCTGGATTTTTCCAAAACTCTCGGGTGAGTCCACTACTGCACCTACCCAGAAAATGTATCCAAAACAGGATAAAGAACACCATGTGATCATTTTAAATGTCCTGGGTTGGTAACATTGCTTACTCTACAATTGTTTATGTATCTCATTTTGATAACATTGCTTGATTTCCATCATTGGTCAAATCTAATGCTCCTCATAGAGTAGTACTGAAGACCTGATGCGCAAGCAGAGATTGTACATCCAGTATTCACCATAGGAAAAAGCATTGAATCAGTGTTTTCCTTTTGAGGGCTTCCATGTCACATGATCAAGTTTTAGTCTTCCAGTTCCATGGAAACACCTCTAGTGGCTGTCTAGTAGGTTTATTTAACCCTGCAATTTAAACTTGCTGTTTCTTAAAATAAAAAATATATAAAAATAACAAACAAAAAATCCAGTGTTTTACCATTGTAGGGTTAAATTGAGATGAAGTGGCCTGGGTGATTTTAGTGCTCCTTTAAGATAGAGAATCTCCAGTGTCTCTGAGCAAATGGAATTTGGCACATACTAGAAAATTATGATGTATGTAGTGCATTTAGAAAGTATTCAGACCTTCATTATAATTTTTTTCTTCACATTTTATTTTAAATTTTACAGTCTAATGCTACAGTTGTTTGTTTTTTTTTTGTTGTTTTTTTTCTTGACTCCATAATAAAAAAGCAAACAGATTCTTGACACCATTGCAAATATATTAAATCGAAAATAACTGAACTATTACATTGACATAAGTATTCTGCACCATAACTCCGTACTTAGTTGAAGCACATTTGGCATCTGTTACAAGCCTCAAGTTATTTTGGTTAGGATGCAACAAGATTTGCCAACCTGTGCTTGGATAGGTCCTGACATTTATTTCTGCTGATCTTCTCAAGCTCTGTCAGGTTTAAGGGAAACCGTTGGTGGGCAGCCATTTTCAGGTCTCTCCTAAGACGTTCAGTTGAGTTCTTATTTTTGCATGGGCTTCGCTGTATGCTTAGTGTAAGTGTCCTGTTGGCAGGTGAGCTTTCAGCCCAGTCTGATCTCATGTGTTCAGCTTCCCTCAGTCCTGAACAGTCTCCCTGACCCGAACACTAAAAAAACACCCAAAATCATGCCTTTTTTGCTTTGTCATTATGGGATATTGAGTGAGGTTTGATGTAAAAAAAATAATTTAAACAATAGTAACATAAGCCTGCAGAATAAAAAACAATGAAGGTGACTGAATGAACAGTTAAAGTGTAATGCGAGCTGCACCAGAGAATAGTGCCATTTATTAAATTCACTAACCAAGCTGAGCTGTATCACCAAAACATCTTCAAACCCCTCAGGATAGGGTGACCAAACTGATAGTCATGATTTGAAACTGTAAAAAGATTTTGAAAACCAAAAAAAAAACCATGAACATTAAATGGCTTACCTAGTCCAATATCCTGATTACTTTTATTTATTTATTTATTTATTTTTTTAAAAATACATCCAGTACTTTATTTCTTCTCCGTCTCATTTTGGATTTTTGCTGTAGATGGTGTGCTTGAGGTGACAGTATTTTCATCTAAACAGTTAAGAGGGACCGATCATAGGAATACTGTCAACAGTACAGGCAGATTTGCATTTTGAAGCAAAACGCATATTCCATGCAAAATTTGAGTACGTGGGTTTTTTTATTATTCAGTTGAAAAATGGTATTTGCTTTTAAATTGAAAATGACGTGGATAACTTGCAAAGTATAAAATTGCACGAGAAGTGACGTAAAAGCCCACATGTAATCTACTGCTTAGAGCTGTTAGTAGAGCAGAGAAAACCTGCAGGAAGGGAAAGAAAAAAGTTACAGATCAGTCTTGAGACTAATGATCAAATTGTGACTACTGCAATTGTGAGAACACTATAGCGTTAGAATACCGGTTTGTATTCCTGCTGCTGGAGTATTACCCTACCTATACAGGTGCAGAGGTACTGCCCTCAGACCATGTCATTGAGCTGAAGTGGTGTGGATTCTTTTAAGATAAGCAAAAAAATCTATTCCACTAGCAGTTAATTGACTAACCAATTTGCCAGCCTTCATTAGGTGACCTGATGGCTGGTATCTAGGAAGGACATACTCAGTCCATTATCATTCTCCACAAACAATTTTTTTTTTTTTTTTTTCATCAATTAGCACAAATCTGTTTTCATAAATTTGCCAAACAGCTTGTCATAATATTGGCAGGCACCATCAATCGTTTCTGGTTCATTTCATTTCATTTTTTTTTTTATTCCATCACAAGTTGTCACAGCCAAAAAAGTGCAGAAACATAAGACAGATTCTTTCTTACAACACACAATTTCTTTCATATTGCCACTGGTAATTGATATGCAAACAGAAAAAAAAAACTTTGGATGTTGCTCTATCACCTAAGTAACGTTGTGTAAGTAAATTCAAGATGTAAATTGCATGTAAGGTCTCTGAATTGTCCAAACAGGAAAAAAAATGTTGCTGGCAACATGTAAATTAGACTCGGTGTCCACAGGATGGTCTGTATAAATATTTCTCAGGGGGAGACCTCTATCCTACATGGTAAATATTGTATTTTTCTTTTACATTTACTTGATTTGCAAATTCTACAGCAAGCTTTCCTAATGATACCTTTCTCTTTACTCCTGTTAGCGTATGGATTTGGGTGAATGCACCAAGATTCACGACTTGGCACTAAGAGCGGATTATGAAATTGCAAGCAAAGAGAGAGAGCTGTTTTTTGAGCTTGATGTAAGTGTTAACATTAATATTTTGCGACAAGGGAGTAGTGGGAAATTACTGTACAGTGGAAGTTTCATAATACTGGGAGGGCATGATATAAATTACTTAAATACAAATAGTATGTCTGCTGATGTAGTATTTCTGTATCTGCTTTTATGAGATTTTCACACTTCTGTGCCTACAGTTTAAAGATAATGATGCAATAAATGTCTAGTATGTGATTATCAATTCATGTTAAAGGTGAATGTTGGTGTTGCTTACATCGCCAGACAGCGAATAAATATCCTCTTAACACCAAAACAACCTCATCTTAATGAAATGTTTTAGTGCATAGATTTGTTTCTATTGGACAATTTAAAATATGTATTTATGAGAGAAATATACAAAATGTTTGTCCAAAACCATGCCTTAAATGGCCTGACTGACACACTAGAGGAGCTTCTTAATGAAGACTTTGATTTTTCTTCGTACTGGATTGTGATGTTTGCAAACACAATTTATAGAAGATTTTCAGTGTTTGAAATCCCTTCCTCACAGTGCATTACTGCTGTGCAAAATGCTGGCGAGCTTGGCTGGGCCCATTCAGGAGTTGGTGCAGCTCCTTAACGTGGTACGTTTTGGGGAGATAGAAATATTTCCTCAATCAGATTGTGCAGCCATAACCACTACAGTGTAAGTAGACAAACATTTTTAGAATGGTTCCACTTCTTATATGGGATCCATATGGCACACCTATCCACCTCCACTACGTCACATTTGTAAACCCGAAACGTCTTAGCAGGAGCTTCCATTAAGCTCTCTTGGGCTAAGCCCTCCGGTACCGGGCTAGTTCATTGACTGAAAGTGACAGCGGATTGATTTCAGCCATTCAGCTATAACATGCAAATTTAAGATTGTTTGTGAGCACCAGAACTGTATATTTGTACAGTGAAAACATTTGTCTAATAAAGTGGTATGTGTATAATTCTCACGTGTCTAGAGCATCTGACTGAGATTTAATATTGAAATGCTTATAATAAGTATCTCATATGTGGTTCAAAGAGCTAAAATATGGAGCAATCATAGCTGAAGCATATGTCATTCCTAGGCTATGCAGACCATATAAAATCTGTTAAAGAGACTGAACAGATGATACTCATTGAAAAAAGTAGCATTAAAGTATTTTTTTTTCAAATGTTTTGGGGTGTGGGTTTTTGACTCTTATGTCGCATAAACCTTTTTATGGAAAACAAATAAGAAAATTCATTGCTGTCATTTGATTTACCTCCAAATTTTCTAATTTAGGCGATGGATCATTTGGAGTCCTTTATTGCAGAATGTGACAGACGAACTGAGCTTGCTAAGAAACGTCTTGCTGAAACCCAAGAGGAAATAAGTGCAGAAGTTGCAGCTAAGGTATTTATCATGTGAGGTCTCTGGATTTTAAATTCTGCTTTATGTAATTCCATGGTAATTTCTATATTTCCCCTTTATTCTTTCCACTGCATTTTTATTACCATAAGCAAAGTGACAGCTTTAAACTTTAATCTGTTAGACATCTGCATGGAACAATATAATCAAATAGAAGGAAAAATATCTTCTGCCTAATTTTTCCATATTTCTTTCTATTCATATTCCTATCTTCTGGTATGTATTTTTTCATCCATTTTTCCATATAGCAATGATGCTTTCCTTGCCTCTCTTTCTCTTAGATTGGTGATCTGCTTTATAACGTTCGTTCTGAGTGGATTTTATAAACAAGCACCCATTCATTGGTAGAGAGGGCTCATCTAACACTCAGCCAATGGATGAGTGACCGTATCTGCATCCAGCTTGTGCAGCATCCTGACATTTTTGAAGGCTTGGTAGGTGCTGGGATGCAGGTAAGAGGCAAACCGATGCAAAACGGTTTGTCCCCTTACTAGAGAATAGCACCAGATCCTCCTTTTTCTTTACTACATTTTTTTTCTTTCTAGTCACTGGTGGTGTGTTTTTTTTTTTTCTTTCTTCTTTTTTTCTTCAGTAATCTGAGAATTGACAAGGGAATTGTAAATATTAGGACTAAATAAGCAGAGGAACAACATCTTAGACTAGGCTGTTAATAGTACTTCAGTATGGAGTCCCATATTCACTTCTTCACAATGCCCAGCTTATGGAATAACCACACCTTTAAATGATATTATTGATTGTGCCTGATCCTCTTGGTGTTTTTTTTTGTGTTTGTTTTGGTTTTTTTTTTAATTACCGTATATACTCGAGTATAAGCCGAGTTTTTCAGCACATTTTTTGTGCTGAAAAACCCCAACTCGGCTTATACTCGAGTCACTGTCTGTATTATGGCAATTTACATTAATTTACATTGCCATAATACAGACTGGGGGCTGGCAGCGAGCGCTTACCTCTCCTGCAGCTCCTGTCAGCTCCCTGCTCCTCCGCGCCGGTCCGGTCAGCAGCTCGGTCAGCTCCCAGTGTAAGTCTCGCGAGAGCCGCGGGGTCATAGTGCGGCTCTCGCGAGACTTACTGTGTGAGCTGACAGAAGAGCTGCACGGACCAGCGCGGAGGAGGAGGGAGCTGACAGGAGCGGCAGGAGAGGTAAGTAACAGCTCTGCCAGCCCCCCTCCTCCCCCCACTGAACTGCCAATGCCACTGGACCACCAGGGAAGGAGAGCCCCCCTCCCTGCCATGTATCAAACAGGGAGGGGGGACAACAAAATAAATAAAATATATAAATAATAATAAAAAAAATAATATAACAAAAAATTTAAATAATATTAATTAATAATATATAAATATAATTAATAATAAAAAATAATATAACCAAAAAAATTTAAATAATAAATAATATTATTTTATTTTTTTATAAAAATGCCCACCCCCCACCAAGGCTCTGCACACTGCATCACATACACACACACTGCATCACATACACACACACTGCATCACATACACACGCACTGCATCACATACACACGCACTGCATCACATACACACGCACTGCATCACATACACACGCACTGCATCACATACACACGCACTGCATCACATACACACGCACTGCATCACATACACACGCACTGCATCACATACACACGCACTGCATCACATACACACGCACTGCATCATCTCATACACACGCACTGCATCTCATACACACACACTGCATCTCATACACACACACACTGCATCTCATACACACACACACTGCATCTCATACACACACACACACACTGTAAATAAATATTCAATTAATATAATTTTTTTTAGGATCTAATTTTATTTAGAAATTTACCAGTAGCTGCTGCATTTCCCACCCTAGTCTTATACTCGAGTCAATAAGTTTTCCCAGTTTTTTGGGGTAAAATTAGGGGCCTCGGCTTATATTCGGGTCGGCTTATACTCGAGTATATACGGTAATCATTTTTAGCTGTACCTATAGTAACTAAGAAATAACCTCTTTACCACATAAGCATTGAAATCTAAAAACATGAACATATGTTTCTACATTTGGTCCTTTCTGATAGCATGTTTTGTGTGGTTTGGCACTGAGGAAAATGTTGTGGTGAGGTAAAAATATGCATTTCATTTATGCCCTGATACAGAGCCTTTTAAAGTTACAAGTTTACAAATAAATGTATGATACGGAGAGATAATTGTACCAGCATGTGTCATCCTTCAAGCTGAGTTTTTTTTATGTTTTGTTTTTTTCGCTTGTACTCTGCATCAGTCGATTTACTGTAATAAAAAAAAAAAAAAGACATCTGCTAATCTTATCTTTGGGTATTTTGCTTTGTAGGCAGAAAAGGTTCATGAGCTGAATGAAGAAATAGGAAAGCTTCTTGCAAAAGCTGAGCAATTGGGAGCTGAAGGAAACGTGGATGAATCACAAAGAATTCTCATGGAAATGGAGAAAGTGAAAGCTAGAAAGAGAGAAGCTGAGGTAGGTTGCATACACACTCATTCTTGTAATCGGAAATGCAAGAAAACAAAGTGCACTTGTATGTAGTACATTGATATTTCTTGACCACATTGCAAGACTATTCTCTCTAAAGTATGTATAAGATTTATTTGTGTATGGATATTGGGCTATTTTTTATTTATTTTTATTTTTCCTGTGTATTATTCATAATCTTAACTTACAAATAGAACCGTGGATTTTCTAAGTAAAATTTATTTATTTTTTAAACTTTTTTTTTTTACACTTGTAGGAAGAATATCGTAATTCAATGCCGGCATCTAGCTTTCAGCAGCAGAAACTGCGCGTTTGTGAGGTGTGTTCCGCCTATCTTGGACTCCATGACAATGACCGCCGTCTTGCGGATCACTTTGGGGGCAAATTGCATTTAGGCTTTATTCTGATTCGTGAAAAACTGGAACAGCTGCGGGTATGTATTTGCTACTTGAACCTTTCCTTTGGTCTTACATTTGTTTAGAATTTTGTTTGGGTGGAGGGGAGGGGGGTTTAAGTTGCATGTTTGCAAATGTGTCACTTTGTTACCACAGGAAAGATAAATTCAAGCAGGGTTTGACTGAAATGAGCATAGTTTAACATTTTGGACTAAGTTTGTGAGATTGATAACTTTCTGCTTTTCAAACACTAATTCGAGAGATCAAATAAATGGTGGCACTCCACATGTAAATAACAAAAATAGCTATTTACATTTTTTTTTTATTATTTTTCTGTGCAGGAGTTACAAGCATATGTCAAGTGTCACAACAGCGGGAATGGGCTAAACTCTAATATTGGCAATGTGGCGTTCAGGAATTGCACTTTTCTTTTGTAAAAACATGTTTGAAACAATCTAGGAACAATTTTAGCATGTAATGAAAATTATACACGTTTAACTGATATCAATAAAACAATGCTAAAGTAGCTAGCGCATCTTTGATTCAAGCCAGGTTCATATGCATTATTTATAAAACTCTATAAGATGAAAACCACAGATGCTTAGTGTCCCACTTGTGTTGACCTATGGTAGGGCAATAACCTGAAATACAACATTGGGACATGTAATGTGTACTCCGCTGTTTTAAAATAAATGGGTAGCTATGGCATTCTCTGTATGCAGGGGAGTACCTAGGCAACCACAAAGATTTCAGGTCCATCAGAGTCCCGCAGTGCTTGCGTCTCGGCCCCTGTCCTGAGTGGTCATCTCCCAGGCTTGTACTATAGGACCATGTGTTGTCCCTGCTTTTGGGCATGCAGGAGCATAGTCCATCTCCGGTGCATGTCGTCCCAATCAGCCGATGCCGGCCCTTGAGGCTTGACAGGTGGGCCATGGGCACTTGCGGAGTTGGTGCTGCGGCAAGAGTCCGCCACCCTTATGTCCTGGAGAGGCTCCCTGCCCACGTCCTTCGCCAATTGGGAGCTGTGTTGCTTTCCGGTAAGCCTCACGGCAGTCTACTCAGGCGTATGAGGGCGAGGTTGTGCTTCTTTGGCTGGAGGACTCCGGTGTTGCTGAGTGGTAGGTGAATTGTGCGAGCTTGGTCTCACTCTGGTATGTGTGAGGGTGGGTGTCGGAGTCTGGGAGGCATGTCGTCGTTCCCCGCCGTTTTGAGATCCGAGGATGGCACTGTCTGGGTGCTGCTCTGGCGGCTCGGGGTGGGCCTCTACTCAAGAGGCGTCGGGTAGCCGGGCGGATCCAGGCCGCCACACTTTGCATCGCCAGCTTGAAGTGCCGACCCTTTGTGTGGAGCGATGTCCAGAGGTTGGTGCGAAGCTGGTAAAAGAATTCTAGGGTGCACTTGGGTGGTTTGAAGAGGGTGTTTTGTGCCGCCATATTGCGTGGGCCCCTGTAGTCCCGTGCGTTTGCTGGTTTGGTCGCTTGGTTGAGCCGTGTTGTGGGGGTAGTCGTCCCCAGCGTTTACCGGGATATCCCCCTCCGGTCCAGAGGGGGGTTAGTGGGGCAACCTCCGAGTGAGACTTATGAGCAGGTCCCGTGCCGGGGGATCGGCCGCCTCCCTCAGGCTCCACTCCAGTGTGGGCCGCATGGCCGGTATGGGTGCTCGTTTGATGTGTCGATGCGGGACAGATATCGTTCTGTTCCCTGTGTGGTCCCGTATCGGTTTTTGGGCACTTTGTGCTGCTGGCATGGTTGGATTGTTCGGGATAATCGTATTTGTGCTCGTTGGCATGAGAGCCCCCATGGAGCACGTCCGGCCATCTTGGCAGTCAGGCCCCATCCCCAGCTATTTAAATTTTGTTATGATTTACAGCAGAGCTACAACATCCTAAATTGATCTCTGTTCAATGCTTTCTGATAGTACTAGTACCTTAAAACCAACTTTTTAACCAGGAAACAATCATCTCACTGACACTTAAACTAGATGTAGCATCTGGATCCATATAATAATCTGTAATGACAAAGAATCAAGCATACTGTATACACTTATTAATATAGCAAACTTGTTCTAAAGGAATCCTTGTCTTATACATTACATAAAGTGTTTATATATTAATCATTTGGCAGGAAAATTGCATTTTCTGATTTCCTAAGTTGGTGACATGGTTATCAATGGGAATTTCTCCTAAACTCCATAAAATATTTTGTAGATAAATATTTAACTGCACTAAGCAAAAGGATACAAAATATACTAGATACAACTCTATTTGTATATGGCCAGTCATGTAGATTAGACAGTTATTTATATAAATATAGATATAAAAAATTTATTATAATTTTTGTTTCCATTCCAGAGAACTGTGGCAACAAAACAAGAAAAACGAAACCAAGATCGCTTGAGGAGAAGGGAAGAGAGGGATAGAGAGGATCGAGGACCAAGACGGTATGTTTCTTGGAAGGTTGACAGCCATAATATCATAAGTTCAACAACAAAAAAATTCCCTACGTATTAACATTTTTAATTTTGTACATTTCATGTGTGAGAACTAAATTATACAGGTAGTTTAAATATTTTTGTAAAGGTTCTAGTGATGTTGGATATAGTAAAAATGTAAACCATAGAAAAATGAAGCAGAGAATGCTATTCTGAAAATGTAGTGCTTAATAAAAATTGTCGTGAGGGATATTTTTTTTGGCACAGTTGACAATATCTTAAAATCTTTTTTAGCCTTCCTTTTGGATCAACCGCATAAACGGATGACTGAATTTCTATGTAACTAATTACAGAAATGGTGAAAATATATAGTGTAATACAACAAATTATATACACTACATTTTATGTTTTGTTTTCCATTTGGCTGAAACTGCACAAGTTCCAAAGAAAAGTTTAGGTGTTGCCAATAGGCACAATAAATCAACAGATCTAGAGCGATATTGGTATTTACATCTCACAGACCTCTGTGAAATGTAAATTTCTACATATTATTGATGGAGGTGTAATTTCTGGTAGAAAGGCAGGATACCACTTTTAGGTTCTTCATAGGTGTTTCCTTTCTATTTGGGGTATGGTTATATTTATCTGCATTATAGAATGCTGTAGATAGATTCCAGTTTAGAAGGCTCTTCAATAGTTTGGTGTTTTTGTTTCCAGGTCCAAGAGCAGGGATCGTCGTAGGTAAGTCCCATTTTTAACTTAATTGTATTATCTTAACAGACCACTCTGGGCACCCATAACAATTTAATCACATTAAAGTTATGGTTTAAGAAGGTCATGGTTGCCTCTTACCTTAAGGGGTTATACTATTGATGATTGTTTTAAACATAAAATCTGGAAGATTGCCTAATCACAATGACCCTCCTCTTCCCTGGACGGTCAAAGAAAGCTTCAGGTTGGGTGCTGCTGATAGGTTGAGGACCTACTTCACTCACTGAGTGAGAAGCTATTGATAGGCTGACAGCATTCGCTTATGCATTAATCCTATCAGCAGCATCCAATCAGTCTTCCTGACTAAAGCCTCAGACCTTAAGAGGAAGTGGAGGAGCAGAGCGATCGGGCGTCTACCAGTCTTTGTGATTAAAAAGTTAGTTAACGGTATAACCCCTTAAAATAAGGGCCTCCTCATTTTTTTATACTCAACATGTAGTTGCCCAAGGTGGAAGAAGGTATACTGGCATATTCTTTACAGTTGATAATGCATGCTCTGGAAACCTTATTCCATCACTTATGCTGTAAATTTTTTTTATTTTTAAATCAGATCAAGATCCAAGGAGAGGAGGAGGCGCCGTTCTCGTTCCACATCACGTGACAAGCGCAGGTCCCGATCAAGGTCAAGGGACCGCCACAGACGCCATCGCAGTCGTTCAGGCAGTCGCAACAAAAGTCACCGCAGTTCAAGAGATAGGGGATCAAAACACAAGTAGTTGTACTGATATTAAACTGTAAAAGGTATTGAATATGTTTAACTGCTTTAATGTTTTGGCAGAATAGCGTAGTTTATATTGACAATGTTTCAAATATTTCATTTCCATGTTAATTTTTATTACTTTTGAAACCAATTAAAAAAGTTCTATATTGTTATTTTGGTACAGAGCCCTTTTAGTGTTATTTTTATTTTTCAGTTTTCTTTTTAAGTGTCACTATATCAGATATTTGCTCTTTAAAATGAAAATACAGCTGCTGCATGTATATTCTGAAATTCAAGGCAAATGTTGGCAATGTATAATACATTCAATTTGTAAAAGAAATGTTTCATGTGTTTTAAGACAACCAACTGTCTACTGCAAGTCCAAGTAATAGCATTTGTCATTTAATGAACCCAAATCTAACACATACAACATTATGGAAAATAACATTGAGATCCCATAACATGCTTTCACTAGCAAAAGCTAATTGTACCCTTCCTAATAAACGTTTGCCATCTTTAGTTTCTTTTGATACATTTGTGGTGGTGTATATGAAAGCAATCTTGGTTTAACCTTTTTTAGGTAATTCTCATTTAGGTCCCCACTACACATTAATTATACTGTGAAGAATTTCCGTGATTAACTTATGTTTGGCGGATAGTTTCAGCTCTACTATACTGTCCATTAAAGTGAGGTTTAATGGCCAACCAATTGAAGATCAGACTTCTGGTGTGAAACCGTTTGAAGGCTACTGTACTTCCTTAGTAAACACTGAAATTTTAGTAGTTAAACTGAAGGGTTTTTTTTTTCCCCTCCTCCTTTCCTTTCGTTCAGATAATTATACTTGAGGATGCTTCTCTAATTCTGTGCATGATGAATGAAAACCCAAAGTCTTTGTCGAGGAAACACCTGTAGTGACTGTCAGTCTGACAGCCATTAGTGGTGTATATTAGGCAAACTATAAACAATGGCATACACTAGAAATTTGTGTTTTAGATTACCTTAACAAAAGGGACATGGTCTTTGAACCACAACCTCTTCATTAAGATGAATTGTTTTTCTTTTATGCTTAGTGTCCTTTTAATGCATTAAGGCAGGTTAGAGAAATAAAATGTTGAGTGGAAATTTAAATCAGATTGTAGATACCATGTAACTGAGAGTGCCAACATACAATGCTGGAAACTCATTAGGTTTACCTTTGTGTGTATTCCTTTGAGTTTAGCAACAAAGTGTGGTTGTATATATACAGAAGTGATCTTAATACCAGGGAGGTATCGTTTGTGAAGTTCTGCAGATATCTCTGGTACCTTACCCTTTTTATTGGTCAGGCATGTTAAAGAATGCAATTTCCAGGGGCTGTGCCTGTTTTAAGTTTAGGCATGTCTGCCAACAAGAAGAGTGAGATCACATTCTAAATAAGGTAGGTGGTGGTAGGTGTCTGACACCAGGGAAGAATTGGGGAAGATGTGACTATAACAAATTCTTTAGCGTGATCTTAAATGGATCAGAATGGTCTTAGTAGTAATGGTAATTGCTAACTGGACCCCATGAAGATGAGTAGGGCATGTCTTGCTTTGGAAAGATAAGATCATGCTGGCATGGCCCTAATCTATAAGACATCCTGTAACTCCATTATCCACATTAACAGTGAGTGAGCGGAGCGTTAACCTGACAGCTGACCTAGCACTGATGTGAGAAACACTCCTATTACAATAAAGGGAAAACAGGGTAGAACTTGTGTTGACATTGGCTGCCAAGTCTCATACTTGGTTTGTTTTGTTCATTCATTTGTCTTTGCACAACGAGTGAATATCTTAGATATTCCATCTACAAGTATTAGTAATCCCAAACGTAGGCATTCATTGGTCTCTGGTAGGCCTTAGAATTTATAGGTAAGTATCATGTTTTTTTTAATAGCTTTTTGCAATTCGATTAAAAAGGATCGGCTTTTGTCTGTACAGCCCTTTCCTTTAAGTATTTGTTTAATATTTACAATAGCCCTACACTTTTAAAAGACTGTCACCACCTGCAAGATTTTATTTATCTGTATCAAATTATTCGGGTTTTAGCACTCATTTTTCCCTGTCTTTCTTTCTTACATGCTCTTGTTTCAGAGGGGACAGAGCTTGTCTGCATTTTAGGTCAGCAGAGATTGCACACAAAGGACCACTTATGAAAGGTTTAAGATCCGACTTCTTGGAGATGGGAAACTTGAAAGTACTTCAGATAACATATTTTGTGTTGCATTGTAAATAATCATTGTTCGACAGATACAAATATACGGTTTTTACATGCCGAAAACTCATCTTTTATAAACCTAAATTTTTATTGTTTGAATAGCTGTGTTTGCTGAACTGTATTCTGCTTGCCCTAAGTTTCAACAGTAGTGGAAGTACAAATAAAGTATTTGCCTAGTGTAAAATTTTATTTTGTGTGGGATATTTTATTTTAAAATATTTAATTTGTGATAGTGCTGAACATTACAAAGGACATACACTGGTGGGTAGATTTGATTTTATATAAAGTAGCAGTTGTGTATTGTGTTACAAAATGTTTCTATGAATGGACCTTTTGGTCTAGTGTATGATTTAGTCAATGACCGTTTTGCAAGCAGTAATGCTGTTGGATTTTTTAAGTTGCCAATACACATTTCCAGTCAATCCAGAGGGTGGGATGACACAAGAATAGGTAGATTAAAACCCATAGCGTTAGGAATTTGTTTATATTCCTAATTCTATAGTGTTTCTTCTAGCATCTTGCCTAACCCCCTGCTTCCAGTATAAAAAAAGAAACCCCACAAACTCTCCATGATGCTCCACATCACACCCCTTGCAATGGCCGCTCTTCTTGAGGGTGAATCTACAGTATGAAAGCACTGCAATGCCTCGTAGTAGTCCTACACCCTCACTGTCGTATGGAAATCACACAGTAACCACCTCCACCAGCCACATTTAACCCCATAGATTTTAACCTTTAAAACAAATCATTTTATGTTAAATGAATTGAAGTGATGGCAAAATATGCCTTAAAAGTGTAAAATAAACATTGTGACTATGTATTGGCAATCTGATTTCTCATTTGGTCAACACTGTTCTCAATGAGGAGATAGTGATCAACCAGGTCTGTTTGGCTTGTGCTGGCTCTGCCCCTGATCTGCCTTCTTGTCACTCTCAGCCAATCCAATGATATCCTATGATAATCCCATTGTGAATGGCTCAGATCATCACTTCTGGTAATGTCCGCCAAGCAGGCAGATCAGAGTCAGCAGTTGCAAACAGGAATAAAAAGTAATATTTGACTATATTAAAGGGACACTATAGTCACCAGAACAACTACAGCTTATTGAATTTGTTCTGGTGAGAGGAATAATTACCTTCAGGCTTTTTGCAGAGAAAATGCAGTGTTTACATTACAGCCTAGTGATAACTACACTGACCACTCCTCAGATGGCTGTTAGAGATCCTTACTGGGTCATGGCTGCCTAAAATTAATCCAAATATTCAGTGTCTCCTCCCTCTGCATGCAGACACTGAACTTTCCTCATAGAGATTCATTGATTCAATTAATCTCTATGAGGAGATGCTGATTGGCCAGGGCTGTGTTTGAATCACGATGGCTCTGCCCCATGATCTGCCTCTTTGTCAGTCTTAGCCAATCCTATGGGGAAGCACTGTGGATCAGGCTACCACTTCTGATGATGTCAGCAGACTGCTTGTTTTTTGAGGCAAACAGCATGCAGAGTTACAGCTTCAGGCTTCAATACAGTAAGATGTTGCTCTATTTATGAGGCATGAGGGGCCCAGGGGGGCTAGATGGTTGTTTTAACACTATATATGGTCAGGAATACATGTTTGTGTTCCTGGCCCTATATTGTTACCTCAAATATTGTTTTTTTTAGTTTTTTTAAGCCTCTTCAATAAGGTCTATTTAATACTTTTTCTAGAAGATGTCTTATCTGGGACCCGAAGTGTCGTACCTCGGGGCATGTCGACCACAACGTAAGTGCCTCTGTGCCCGCAAACCCTCCAGCACAGATTTTGTGTGTTTTTAACCATGTTTCTATAGCACTGGAGAAGTATTTTGCACATCCGCTCCTGTAAGGTCACAGACACACGAGGCATCCCAAATATCTTCCCATGTGCCTCTTACCCAGATTAGTTTCCCACTGTTGGGTATAGGTCAAGGGCCTTCTTGTATTGGAACTGGAACATTGAATTGGTACGGCCATATCTCCAGTTGGGGCTGGGCTGTGGATGGCCAGGAACCCTCATTAAAAGTTAAACTGTTCAGAAATGGCTTACCCTTAAATGGAGGGACAGCACCAGGGGACTTAAGATACTTTAATTCACAAGACAAACTGTTAATAGAACTGTGTTCCTTTTAACCCCTTAAGAACTGTGGACATACTAGGTATGCCTGACAAAAAAAGGTCCTTAAGGACTGTCCGCGGCAAACATGAGCGCTGGAAGCTCGAGGCATCCTGCAATACCTCTTCTGATAGCCAATCTGCCGAGTGATCGCTCCCCTTGAGCCGTGGTGCCCGGCAATGTAGCAGAGCATCGGAAGCCATTGGGCAGGCTTTCGATGCTCTGCCTGTGTGCTGAGTGCCCTGACGCACTCAAATAATACATAAATATGGTCTTTTAGCCCCCAGAGAACCCAACACACTTATACATGGGTGGTATCCCTGTACTCAGGAGATGTTGCTGAACACATATTGGGGTGTTCTTTGGTAGTAACCCATAAGGTGTTCAGTACATGTATTCTTAAATTGCTATGTGTGTCAAAAAAATCCTTTTTTTTCTTTCTTTTTTTTTCTTTTTACATTTAGCATTGATTGGCGCTAAAATTGTTGCATGAAAAATTTCAAAATACCCCAAGTTTAATACCTTTACATGTCTTTTAAAAAAAAATATATACATGTGAAGGGTTATTCAGGGATTCCTGACAGATATTAGTGTTGCAATGTAACTTGTTAATTTTGAAAGGAAAAAATGGTTTGGAAATAGCAAAGTGCTACTTGTACTTATTGCCCTCTAACTTGCACACAAAAAAGCTAAGAACATGTTAACATTGGTTATTTCTACACTGAGGACAAAATTTAGAGACTATGTAGCATGGGTGTTTTTTTGGCGGTTGTAGATGCGTCAGATTTTGGGGGTCAAAGTTAGAAATTCTTTTTTTTTTTTTACGTTAAAATTTTTTTTATAGCAAATTATGACATGATGAAAATAATGGTATCTTTAGAAAGACCATTTAATGTCGAGGAACTGTATATATGTGTGGGTACAGTAAATGGGTAGGAGGAAAATTACAGCAAAACACAAACCCTGCAGAAAAGTAAACAGCCCTGGTCCTTAACGGTAAGAAAATTGGAAAACTGGTCACTAAAGGGTTAAAGGTTTTTCCTAAGCATCAGAACTACTACAGCCTACTGTAGTGGTTATAGTGTGAGAAATACCCTTGCTTATTATAGATTTTTTTTTTGATTTTTTTAAATAAGTTTCAGTTGACTGCTTTTAGCCAACAAATTACATTTTGTAAATAGAAACATGCACAGGATTGACACCCCAATGTCACTGCTGGAGATGGAGTTGCACTGCATTGCAAATGGGTTAAACTCTGTATGTGCATTGTTTCATACAGACTCCATGCACCATGATCAGTTCAAATCATTTAAACAGTCTTGTGTTTTGGGGTAACCCTTTAAGTTTTCTCATCAGAAAGTTTTTCTTTACGTTAACAAGATGAGGAAATTCTAGAACCAAACTCTGCTACTATGGCAGTGTCATGTGACCTTTGAGTCATTGTGACATTCATGGGATAGAGATTTGTGTCTAACTGGATGCAAGTTGCTGCATTTTGCAGTTGTTCCATCAAATTTCCCTACCTGTGAAAATCCACTACCATCGTCACGTCCGGTGAGGGAAATCAGCAGGATCCTGTGCTGCACATGCTTGCTAGCACTCCTGCTACTCCTCCACAGCAAGGTCCTGGAAGGTAAGTAAAGCTAGTTCACTAAGTTTAGGACACGGAACATGTAGGGTTCAAATTAGGGTTAGGGACTTGTGAAATATCACTAAATATAAACCTTAGGTGAAAATCTATAAATTGTGACTTTCACAGTTTATTTTAACCCTTACCCCTAGGGTTATGGTTAGAATAGAGTGTGAGAGGTTAAAATAACTTGCCTAACCCTAATTTGAGCCCTCCCTTAACCCTAAATGTCTCATGTGCCTAAGCTTAGTGAATGCACTAACTATAATGAAAGTGTAAAACTAGCTTTACTTACCTTACAGGACCTTGCTGTGGAGGAGTAGCAGGAATGCTAGCATGCATGTGCAGCACAGGATCCAGCTGATTTCCCTCACCGGAAGTGACGAGGGTAGGGCATTTTGATGGAGCACCGGAAACCCTGGTGATAATCTCAGAATTAACATACCACGTCTGGCCCATGGAATGGGAAGGTGGGGGGTGTGCATAAGGTCTCTCACAAAAGTCCTTTAACCACTTAAGGACCACATAGTGATCTATGCTGCCATGCAGTGCAGGGTTTAACGCCCAGTTACGGCATAGAATATCATGCAGTAAAGATACTGCAAGAGATTAAATCCCTACTGGTGCCAAGGAACCCCATGTATCTTTTGAGTGCTGCACATAGCCCTTTAAATACTGTGGCTAAGCAATTTTGCTTAGCTGGGGTATTTCCAACATTGCTCCCAGCCTGAAAAGGTATATAAAAGGGGACCCCAGGTATTAAAGAGGCATATTGTTGGCTCAGAGCCCTGTCCCACCCTCCTTTGGACTGGGGGGGATATCCCGGTCCCACTGGAGTATTTGTGTGGTCACCTCATCTGAACCTAATTCTACTGCCAACCAGTCTGGTCCTAATGCTACATTCTCTTTCTCACACTTTTATATGGACGTGGGCCAGCTACTTATGGCTTTCGACCGCATTTGTGCTGAGTTCTGGGTGAAGTACTATTCATGTGATCTAACCTTCATTCCTACTGACTAAATCTCAGAGCCGGCCCGCTGGCCGTCGTTACCTGTCTGAATACTCTCTGCTTATCCTCAGAGTGGCACTGAAGAAGAGATGGCAAAGGAGGCCTGTAAGCGTGAGTTGGCCGTATGGGGGTGTGAGCAGCGGACAGGAGAAGGTCATGGGCAGAGCGGAGAGGAATACCTATGGATCTGTGAAGAGATATGAGGGGCTAGAATTGTTCAGTATGGGTTAGCACTTTGAATTGACTCCTATAGGATACAGGAAGACAATTTCATTCCGGTCCCAGCATCATTACAGAGTGCGAGGGAGCAGAGAGGAGCTACAGGCAGAGTACTGCTCCTTCGCACACTGGAGGAGAGCAGCACCACTGGACCCCAGGGAAAGACCCACTCAGCTCTCCCAAAGGTAGGGAGGCTGAGTGGGTTTCAATTAAAACAAAAATGTAAGTGTGTGTGAGAGCATGTTGTCAGCGTAAGAGTGTGTGTGAGCCTATCAAGAGTGTGCGTAATGGTCTCTGTCAGAGTGTGTGTGTGTGTGTGAGCGCGAACCTATCAGAGAGAGAGAGAGTGTGTGTGTGAGTGAACCTGACAGAGAGAGCGAGACTATAAAGAGTGTGTGTGTGTGTATGCACGCGCACGTTTAGGTATCTGCCCCCTCCGATTGCATGAGGAAGGTGTTTTTACTCACCCTTTTTTTCCCCATTTTCTCACGCCGTGCCAGTTTCGCCATGGCTGGTACCATCAATCTTTATGATCTCAGCTAAGCCAATGCTTTCCTTTAGGAAAGCATTGGGAGGATTTTGTGCATGCGCAGCAAATGTACCAATCTGCATCTCCTCATAGAGATGCATTAAATTAATTAATCTCTATGAGGAACATTCAGCGCCTCCATGCAGAGCTTGGAGACACTGAACCTGGATGCTGCATATGGTGCAGCAGTAACTCAGGACTCTAGTGGCCATCCGAGTGATTGTCACTAGAGGTGATACTAAGCAGCAATGTTAACTGCCTTTTTTTGCAGAAAAGGCAGTGATTACACTGAAAAGC